GACTTGTTATTAGATTTGTAATGGGCGTGACGTCACTAGGGTGTCACACACGTCCCGCTTGTACCCAGGACTTCACGCGGTTCATTAAAACTATGTCAAGAATGTGAGATTCAACTCTTGTGTGTGCGTGTTCTTTATTCTATGGGGTCACGTGTCAAATATGGGCATTTTGTGACGTCAATCAGTCACATGGGCGAAATGCGCGATGCTGATTGGTCGAGACCAAATTTGCTGCGCTCTGATTGGTTAGGACCCCAAGTAGCCCTGTACACTACTAATTCTGTAAAAACGGATTTTTAAACACTTTCCTCCCCCTTTCACATACATTCTATTTTGAAACTCGCCCCAGTCCTCTCTCAAAAATCGGAGAAAATGCGTTTGGTGCGCACTTTCTGCAGCTCTACCGCAAAAACGAGTACGGTGACCCCCATTTTTTATTTCATGATTTTAATAAGGACAGTGCTTCCTTTCGATGAGAAAAAAATTGGCACAAATCTATGTTCAGTTTTTTGGCAATTTTACTAAATTGTACGGATTGAGCCATCACGGGTCGAAAAGCGCGCGTCCAATTTAATTCTACTTTGGAGCGTAAAGTAAAAACAAGGGCATTAAAAGGCATTTTTCTGGTACTTAAGTGGATAAACAATACATTAAAGTCAAATTCTGTGTGATGTCACATGCATCATCGAAAAAATCTCTCCTTTTTGTCTAGTTTTGCGCTGCCCGCGGTTTTTGTAAAAGGGTCCTAAATAGCCGTATTTGTCAACATTGTGACGTCAAAACGAGCACGGTGACCTCCACTTTTTATTACTATTTTAACATCTTCTTGACTTGTTACATCAGTGTACCAAGTTTTAGCTAAAATCTATGTTAGGTTCTTTTACTATGGAATCACCTTAATATTGAATTTCTTAGATTTCATCAAACAAAACTTTATTCATTTTATAAGGAAATTAGATTGATTTCCTAACAAGCCATAGTTCTGAACACTTGTGAAATTTGTTAAGAGAAATTTTTTAAACCTGATAACAACTACTTCTTGTCTTGTAAAGCTTGTTGTGGGAATGGGTTGGGGAAACAACTTCAAGACCAACTTGAGACCTTTTTCCACCTAATTTGATGCCATAATGGTACCATTGGCTGGGCCAGCTACATGCCATTTTCAGCTGTTTGAATATGCTTTTTGCTCTTTATAATACCCTAGCTAGTGCCTTGAACTTGTATCTTGCAGCTCCCAGTTTATGCAGAACATTCTAATATTGTCTATTTTGAAAATAGCACCAAAAACTCATGTAATATTCTTTTTAAACTTATGACTCACTGGAAGACCACTGCTGCGAAAGTGGTTCGAGATAAAAAAAAAAAAAGAAAACAGAAAAAAAAAGAAAGCACTTAATTTGAGTGTCAATGTATTCAGCACGAAAGTAATAATTGGGGACACTATTTTTACGTCTACTACCGCCATTTTACGTGGTCATGCATCCGAGCCACGCAAAGGTCTAGCCATTTGCAGCAGGGCAAAGGTAATACCTTCATTTCTCAGTCATTTTAAGATCCTGAGTATTGGTCCGACCCCAGGAATTGAATTTCTGACCTCCCACTCTGCAGTCAAGCACTCTACCAACTGAGCTAATCCTACCACGGTTGAGATTAAGTTTACATAAGATAGTAGTACAGTGGGTCGTGCAACATCAACAACAATAGAATCAGACATTGATAGAATCAGAAAGAAAGCTTGGCTGAAAGTTTTCAACAGTGCCCAAAGGATCATCTCATTTAAATGGTGGGTAGATACACTGGTTCAAGATAACTTGGATATAGAATTAAATTTTATTCATGCTAAATGCTATAAAAGCATGGACACAAAGTGTTTTACATCTGATGCCGTTTCAGGATATTTGAACGCTCCTGGTGTTACTCAGTATGTTGTAAACTGCCCCTATAGCTTGTATCTGCCACATTGAGGCGTATTCAAAAGGCTGACAGCACTTTACGACTTCTGTTTTGTATATTTAATGGATAAAAGCAGCGTCTATGAGTTGATGCACTCAACCTCGTCCCCAGGGTCTTCTCGCTTTCCAATATGGCGGCGGCAGGAGAGAAGACCCTGGCACACAGCGAACTAAAACGATCACTGATTGGTGCATTCCATGGTGCGTTCATACGTGCGCTCTCATTGGTTTATTCCTTCCAAAACAAAGATGGTTAACATTTGAGAGCTTCGTAGAGGCTGAGAAGTGCTTTCTTCAGTGTTTGAGACCTAAAAGGTGGACAGAATTCAGGTCTGATTGTTCGGAAAACTGTGACTGTACCGTTGGAAGGCAAAGATTCGAAGATAGTGATATCTGAAATGGTAATCGCTGGGAATATTATGAGGCGTAGAGGTATTTCTGTTGCTCGTTCTATTTGGTTTGTGTGTTCTAAATTACTAAAGACTTGTTTCTTTAATTCCCGATTTGTCAAAGAATACTTGCAAGGCTTCAGCTTATCAATAAATTTAGCTGTCCGTTTGCAAACTGCCTTTTATTTTCGTTGAACAATAGCTGTATGCATAATATTATTAATGTATGGGGTTATACGGAAATCGTGCATAATCTGTGGTTTGTCTCAGCAGTTTTTTGTCCAGTGAAGCATTTTTTTTTTCATTTGATTGTAACATGCATGGGCCTAACCTGGCCTTCTTTTAATTTTTCCACTGTGATTTTGAAGGGGCATGAGGAGCGAGAGAGGCAGATGTCGAAACAAAACTATAAATTGAAGCCAAACATATTGTCGCTATCCTTCGATATTTTTAATCCTGACTTTTCATTATTCAGTTTTTAGTGTCACAATAATGATAATTTATTATTATTTGCTCATTTCATAGGCAGTAAAATACAGCTAAATACAGAGACATTGGGAAAATAAACTGTTTCCTTTTCTCAGAAATGAAAAACTTGCATATTTCTAGTTAGTCTTTCTAGTTGCAAAAATAAAATAATGAAAGCATATGATGTCTTTTATTTTATCAAGTTGAAAATAATGATCAGCCCATGCAAGGAAATCGGACAGTCTTGGATTCTCAATTCTGCTCCATGGATACTGCATTCTGGATTCTTTGTCAGTGGAACTTGGATTCTGGATTCCAATTATAAGTGGGATCCAGAGTACTTGACCTTTATTTCAGTTTCCAAGAGAAAAATTTCCCAGATTCCAGATTCCCTTAGATGGGGTGACAGTGATCCTAAGATAAATACGTTTTCTGTCAAACCAAAACGTGTTAATTGAGCTTCTAATTACTGTAGGCTAAGTGTGCATGTTGTTCTTGTCACTGCATGTTGTTCTTGTCACCATATGCTTGAAAAGGGGGTTTGTGGACCAGGTGAAATAGTGGCTGGCATTGTAGTATTCCAAAACCAGCTGGGTATGATTATGAAGCAGCTATGATTCAGTTCTAAAATTTGGATTTAAAAAAATAAACTGCTTCAAAGGGTGCATATATCACTATCCACTGAATAAACAAGAGCGGAAGGGGCCTGCAGCATCTTGATCCCGGGATTTTTCATGTAGGGATGCTAAGGCTTTTGAAGTGTTTTGCACCAGAGTCCCCATTACCATAGTGAGCTTTTAGTTGCCTAGTCATGGCCAATGATTTTCGGGTCACGTGGCCCCAAGCAATGTAGTGAAACAGTTTCCCTCCAGTTTGCCTAAGATAAGTCACAGAAATGAATTGACCAAGAAGACCTGGGAAAATGCCACACAGGGACAAGGCAAGGCTTTTAGCTTGTATAGGTGTTGGGCTGTGAGGATGCAGCTGTTAGATGCGCTGGCTCAAATACTTCCAAAGTCTACTTTAAGGTGTTGGTTAGTCTTAGTCATAGTGTCTGTATCATAATCATATCATCAGAAATAATCAGATTAACCCAACTATTAAACTGATAATCAATTATAGCAGATAATAGTTTTGTGACCCCTGTGTACCACTTTCAACACTGAAAATACTTTTGTAAGTGAATAAAACAAAAACCTACCCCGCAAGCAGAAGCTTATCTGTCACATAGTTAAACCAACTAAACATTATATAAACTACATTAAGAGTCCATCAAAAAGACAACACAGGTGTATTAATGTCGTTATTTGTTAACAATGTTTTTGTGTATTTTCCACAACAATCAATTGAACATTTGTATATTAAGCAGTACTCACTTTGCTTTAGGTTTCAGATAAATGATAGATTATGATAGATAATCAGCACACCACTACCAAGTTATGTCTCAATAATCATTATTTTATTAGACTACAAAAGGGCCCATCTGACACGCAAAGCGTGTTTGACTTAAAAGATTATTATCTCCAAATGAGATAGGAACTTTTACAGTGCACATGAGTCAGATAGGACTATCAAATTTTTGAACAACTGGAGTCTAGCCTTTAGTCAATTTGTAAATTGTCATGGCAAAGTGCAGCCCCAAGTAATATGTAAAATAAACCAAAGTCAGGGATTAAGAAAGTTTTTGCTCTAAAAATCAAAATCTATTTCAAAGTGAAGAGTACATTTTGGATTGCTTAATTACAACCAATGGAAACACTCTTCACTTTGTGGTAGCTATTAAAGCGGGGTTAATGCTTTTTTTCACATCTGAGAGGCAAAAAAAAAACAACAATAACAACATATTAAATCCTCTATTAAGGCCCCACTCTCTCAAATAAGCCCTCCTTTTCAGTGGAAGAAAGTTTTAACAATAAGCCCCCCTCTCTTTTAACCCCCATCCCACCTTCCCTCCTTTTCTTATTCTTCACTAATAAATAAAAGACTGTATCAATCAATGACAACTGTAAAACTTTGTGTGGACAGATCCAGGATGGTTTATTCAGCAACTGGAAGTTCGGCTTTGTTTTTGATCATCGGCTGCTTGACCTCCAACCTTCTTGTACTTGGGCTTTTTCAGTTGGCATTTTTTTTGTGTGGGGAACTAATATCAGCGTCTTTGCTAGATAAAATAAGGCCCCCAACTCTATTGCCCAGAAGCATTGTGAACAGGGTTAGGTATCAAAGCCAATAAGAAAGTCTAAAAACTCTAAGGTAGATGAAGATTGACAATAATTTTATTACCTGCACCAGATCAAGTGACAAAATATCCAAACTGAAAAGGAACTGTTTAATTTTCAACCAAAGTTTCCTTGAATTGTCTTAACAAAATAGTGTTCTCCGGTTCTTGTTTTGAGAAAAAAAAATTGTTTTTTTACATATCAGAGTTCAGTTAAAATGAGTGCAGACAGAAAAACAATAGTCAAAAACCTCAGGAAGATCTGTAACAAAACTGACGAAAACTTATCAGCTTAAAGTGTCCGCGACTTAAGTTAATGCTTAGTTGAATTTCGGAACGGAAGAGGTTTTAGAGCGTCATGACAAAAAATTCCCTGGCTTCTGAGGTCTGTTCTCGAAATTCCTAAGATGAAATAAATTGCGCTCACGGTTAGAAAAAGCTCTCCCTTTCACGAAAAAAGTGAACTGAACCTCTGGCACTCAGGGTGGGCAAAAAAAGTAAACAGTGAAAAAAGGTCGGTATCGAGTGCCGTGTACGCTACAGAACGTTCAGGCTTAAAACAAATGAAGGTCATTGAACAGAAAATAAGATCGCTATATCATTCTACCGTATTCCTGTGGCTTGTAAGTGCATTCTTTCATATTTTTAGCTTCTTTTGAGTTTGCCTTTGCCGCCATTTTGTTTGTTTTTCACCAGTCTCGAGACCTCGTACCCAGATCCTCTCACTCTTTATCTTTGCCGCCATTTTGAATAAATTTCCACTCTCCGTGGACAAATCAGTCACGTGATTTCTACTGTGTGCCAGGGTCTTCTCTCCTGCCGCCGCCATATTGGAAAGCGAGAAGACCCTGGGGACGAGGTTGCACCAGTCTCAAGACCTCGTACCCAGATCCTCTCACTCTTTATCTTGGCCGCCATTTTGAATAAATTTCCACTCTCCGTGGACAAATCAGTCACGTGATTTCTGCTGTGTGCCAGGGTCTTCTCTCCCGCCGCCGCCATATTGGAAAGCGAGAAGACCCTGGGGACGAGGTTGTTGATGCACTATCGTTTAGGACGACACCTAGCCTAGAAGTCTCTCTTGAATTGCAACGCGCGCAGTGCTGCGATTCGATTAACAAGTTTTTCATCCGCTAGATAATATGCTGAGTACAGAGCTAATTCGATGACACATCTTTCACGAACTTCAACATGGTTTAACTCATTCCCGATAGGCAATGGAACACACTCCTGAGATGGGACGATTTGTTGGGCTGAATTAAATCCATATTTTTTGATACAATCAAAACTCGAAATTACTGAACTACGATAATAACAGGTGTACACGCGGAACGATTCCTTGAAAGAAATTTCTCCAACATCTCTATGTATTTGATGGCAAACGTTGATTAAAGAATCCCAACCTATTCCGAAGCTTTTGTTCATTTCTTCAAGAATCTTGGCTGAAGTCGCATTCTTGGCTTGACGCCGCCATTTTGGATTTGCCATTATTTGCCAGGCGTCCTAGGCGAATATTCCCAACAAGCTTGACAGGTGACGTCACATCCGAAATCGCCGAGGACGACTGGGAACGAGGCTGCGCCTGATACATTAATTAACAAGCCGTCAACCGCCCCCTAATTTACATAAACTAACGTCTGCTTGACCTATCATGTTATTAGCCAATCAGCGTTTACCAGACGGGAATCAAATTTTAGGGCGAATGATGTCTCTTTTTACTTTTAATTACGTCCATGTTCACATGGCGCTTCCTAAAAAAAAAAAAATTAAAAGTGTGTGTTTTTTCTTTTTTGTGATGAAATACTGCTAGCTGGAGCTGCCGTACCTTTATTTAACAGCTACAAATAATAAAGAATTTACTGGTAAAACTTCGTTGACCGTTCTGTGCCGAAAGAATAATTAGCAGGTTTCTGAAGGAGGAATTACAGTCAAACCAGGTCAAGCCGATTCTATTCACGAATTGGTTATTTGAAAAGTGAACCCTTTTGTCGCTTCTGTAACTTGTAGCCGGTATCAAATTGCATTCAAATGATCGGTGAATTTTTGACTGCAACTATTTAGTATACGATGAGATGGAAAATATTTCAATGGGTGAAATTTCTATTTGGCGATTCTTCAAATTCAACAAAAATGAGCCGGTAGAAATTTCAAAACGAACTCGCGTGTGTATTCACTGCTCATTACGCAAGCAAAAGTGCAGACAGAAATCAACAACAACTAACGGATAGCTCCATTTTGGCCGATCGGAACAGCGCAAATCATCCATATTGTTTCCTATCCAATCAGAAAAAAGTCCAGATTCTCGCTTTTTTGCCTGTTATCTGGGAAGAAATGTATCATGCCCTCCTCCCGAAAACAGATTACAGAGATAAAGGGAGAGGGCATGATCGCAGGCTACGTCTACGTGTGCACGGACGAGAACGGAGATTTTCGAATACGATGATGTCATACATCATATATACCACTAGCATTAAGCTTTCTCTGTGAGCGATGCTATACCGTATTTCCATCGTTTTAGCGTTTGCATCGGAGGACGGGCGAAAACGATTGGAATACGCCACGTGTGGACCCGTATTTTTTTAAAAATATCCGGATATGTGTGGACGTACGGGGCCTAATACTTACTTACCTCCAATAAATTGTTCCCAAGTGTTTTTAACTGTTGAGCACACGGCTGTAGTAGGAGCTGAAATTTTAAAAGAGAAAAAAGCGACTTGGTCAACTAACATGGCAAAGAAGCATAAAAAAGATTCATCTATGCACAAACTTCACACATGTGATGAGCGGGCAGGGTCTAAATAGCGGTCATTCTTTGTGTTACGACACAATTCATTGTCACAACTACGTTGTTGACTTACAAGATTCCTTCAGACGCCGTGAGGCACAATAATGTATGAAACGAAAGTGTTAACACTTTTAGGAGTCGTGTCGCGATCGGTGGGAAAATATCCATTTCATAGAGGCCGAAGCAAAAAATATGACCCCACTATGGTTGGATACAGGCGTGGTGACTGAGCAGTTAATAACTTAGACTTCGGATATGTAGGTCTTCAAAGGTTGGATGGCAATATTCACTAGATAAATCACTATCCGCAGGATAAATGATTTCAAAAATGAACTGCGTTATCTACAGAATGGATAGAGACTGTGACCGAGGCTCAGTTGTTTCAAAGGTGGATAGCGCTATCAAGCGGATAAATCAGTGTCCAGTGGATACCTCAATTGGTTTCACTAATACTTATCCGGAGGATAGTGATTTATCCTTTGCTAACTCTATCCATCCTTTGAAAAACAGGTTAAGGTGTATAAATGAGTACAGACGGCATTCTGCTGAGAGTAACCCACAATGGAGGACAAAACAACTTGGGACTGTGTGAAAAAGCCCTTCCAAGTAATTGTTACGTAGGACTCTGCAACTAATGACATTTGTTTGATGGGCTTTGGGTTCATCCTGTCGTCCCCCCTACTCCCCCCTCCCCTAGCAATATTGGGGCCAAAAAAAGCAGTCATTTTCACCCATGGTGCTCAAAATTCACCTTTGTTTGGGGTGGAAGGGGAGGGGTAGTTAGTTTTACTAATGTCACTGAAAAGGTCCCAACACTTTTGACCTCCTATCGCATCTCATTCAAGGGATAGCAATATAGTCCTGGGTTCTTCGTGCTACTAATCGGGTAAAGTTCCGCCGTTGTTCATGCGAGCCCAATCACTGTGTTGAGATTTCTCGCAGTCTATGGTTTGTAAACGCTTACCTACTATCACCGTGTTCACAACATCCCTTCTCCAATCTACAAATCAGGAACCAAAGCACATTATTGGGTGAATTAAGGAATACATAAAGTATTTTTTAATGTTCGTTTCCTAAATGACCCTAAAAATAAAAGCGTCCAAGGATCTACGCAATAAGATGTGAGCCAGCTTAAACAGATATACTATATTAAATATATTCGTACCTCTCGTTACAAACACCTTTCCATTGTAGACAGGTTTTTTTAACCAGGATTTATCCAGGGGAGAATCTAAGGGTTTCCAGAAACCTCTTTCTCCTAGTATGAACGGCACAATTAAGCGAGCCCTGTCGCTCGCTCACCTCTTTTTGAAAGACTGAGAGCTAAGAATCCTTGGAAAAGACGGACAGAAATTGTTCTCCTCCACTCGACAAGCGTATTTTCTCTTGTGACTCTTGTGTTTAGTATACCTGAACTATGAATGGGGACTGACAAATTCAACTACGAATACGTAGCACGACTTCAAAGCAATTTCGAGCTTTTTGTATCTCCCGAATTGTAACAGCGGGAACAAGATAGGCTCAGTCTCTTGCCATGGGTAATCGCCCTGCATAAATTGTTCAGCTTATATACTACTACATGAGAAATTTCTGCAATTTGATTGGCTTAGAGCAGTGGTATTTCAGCTTAATTTGAAACACCTACATGTGAAAATTACAAACCTTTTGTGGGTAGTAGTATAAACAAATAATAGCATGATTTGTACGTGATATTTGGCATAAATAACACTCGTGATATCTCGAAATTGTCTCAAATTTCACTCGCCTGACAGCTCGTGAAATTACATATAACAATTTCGAAATATCACTCGTGGTTTTTATGCCAAATATCACTGCAAATCATGCTATTACCTTTACAAACATCATGACGTCATGGGCAAGAAATTTGAACCGGGTAAGATTAGGCACACAAATTTGGTACAAAATCTTCTATTCGCAGTCCAATCCAAAGGTCCAAAATTTCCGACGAATTTGCCTCTTTGGTAAATGCAATGAAACGCTTCGTTGAGCAGCCTGGGAGTTTTGTCTAAAGTCCTATGAAAGGCAACGATTTCCTAATTTCAGAAATTGTAGAAAAAACAAAACAAAAAAGTAATGCATGAAAATTTAAACCCGTTAAACAACATTCTGGTATCCTATGAAGCGTCGGTTGACTTTTTAACGCTCGCGTGAGCTTGGTGTGCAATTAGCATATAGGTTAGCGTCGGGTCACGCATCCATGGCATGTTCTGGTTCCTTTACCCGCCCCACTATATTTTGAGCACTGTAACATACTTCGAAAATAATAACTGAATTCTGTCAGCAACATTATGTGTTTACTATAGCTGCCTTTCATTTCCGTATTTTACGACATCGGACTCGTATAAACTAGGCGGCATAAATATTAAAGTACACGGTTTACTCATAGTCCGCTTTTATTACTTAAATCCGACTGAGTCAGAATCTTGAATTAATTGTAAGGATTGTTACACGGATGAGCTAGATTTACTATGCAACACATTCAATGTGTGTGTTAATAAATGATAGCTTGAAGAATAATAGCAGTAAAATGTTGAAGTGTTTGTATGGTAGGGAAGAATCATACCTCTCCTTCTCTCTGCTTTCTCCTCCTCTTTCCACTTCTTCTCAAAGTCTGTTAACAAATCTAACAGCTCCTGCTGTCCTGTCTCGTTTAAAATCTTCCTCAGAACAGCGAGTCGCGTAAAACCTAGGCGGTTCTTTTTCTGTAGTTCTTTAAGCAACGCACGAACGTCTTTGATCTCCTCCTTAGCATCGTCTGAGATGTGATCCTCGCACAGAGACAGCAGTTGCTCCAGGTTGTCGAGCTCTTCAAGTTTAGGAATAAACGTTTCTAAAAGAGCGTTGAAATCTTTTCTTTGCCTCGCGAATTTATCAACTTCGTCGACAAGGGACCACTCCTTTACTTCCGTTAAAAGATCTCTCAGTGTCTCCAGGTTGTCAAGTCCCAAATTGTCGCTTTCGTCCAAATCTGAAAAAAGCTTCATTAAGGTAGTCGCAGTGTTGTCCCCTTCATTGACTTGAATGTTGAACGATTCACTGTTTTCAGAGATTAATCTTGCATTGCTAGAAGTATGAAGAAGTTGATTAATCTTAGTCACGTCCTTCAGCCTTTGGCTAACTCTGTAGAGTAAACCTTGGTAGCCGATTGACGACATTTTGAATACTTGTGGCGTAAACGCTGCCTCTACACGGAAGTTAAGACCCGGAGGGGGTTGTCTACTTTGTATACTGAGAGATCGGAGTTTTAACTTATTACGAACTATGGCATAAGTCCATTTATTAAGAACTAGTCTTTTAAAAACCACATCCACCAGAGTTCATAAATATCTAGCCGTCAAGACACCAAACGTTTCGTTATTGAAAACAAAAAAGGAACGGAACAAGTCCGATGTAGCTGGGAATAGTGGCTTCCCCCCACCCACCCATATCGATCGAAAATTCGCGTTTCGAATTCTCGGTATCCCATGATGACGTCACGTCACGCTGACGCTAAACAGTACATTTCCACCTTTCGAGACCATCTATCAAGCCCCCCCCGGGGCTTATTTATTTCAAGCCCATTTGAGGGGGGGGGGGGGGGGGCTTATTTGAGAGGAGGGTATTTAATTTTGAAACGACGAAGGTATCAGTTCTCCATGAAGAACTAGAATACAAAATGGAAAAACTCAAATACAAGACGTTTTAGGTCATGCAGCCGAGGATTAGAATCAAATCCGATCTTCCACTGGTAAATAAACCATCCCGGATCAGCCCACACGAAGTTTTACAGTCGTGATTGATTAATACAGTCTATCATTTATTAGTGAAGAACAGTTAGGGGAGGGGAGGGGGGGCTTATTAGCTTTTCTTCCCCTGATTAGGGGGAGGGGGCTTTTGTGATGGGGGAATAGAGGATTTACGGTATTTGAAATAGCGGGACTTGGAATGGAATAGGGGAGGAGTAGGCAGGGAAACGACTAGCGATAGCACAGACACCGTATTCTAGTTTATAGATCAGCGAGATGTAAGTCAATAAACATTTCACTGAGTCATATTTAAGAGTTAGTCGCGCGCGATGAACAATATAGCAGTACTTTACTGAACTACGTATATTTATTTTATTGACAGTTCACTTTGACATTTTTTCATCAAGGTTTTCATTATTCATTTTATTATAAATAGGTAAAATTTCGTGTCTCATGCAACATCACCACAAAAACGCATGACCATACAATGCAATTTGTCCCTCCGTCAATAGAATTCAGACCTATTTCGCACTTGCCACTCGAGTCCAAACCACAAAAACAACAGGCAACCCATCTCCGAATGACTCATAACACCGGTTCCGATAAATATCACGCACGTCCAATTTCAATAATTCTACTCCAGTTAAATAACCAGCTACAGTAATTCCTTATTGGTCATTTACAGGGATTATGTGAATGTGAAGCCAGCCACAGTGTAAGTGTTGTAGACTTTCTCCATGGACACGATGTAAGCTGCAGTCCTGATGTCCAGTCCAAGGTTGTACTCTTCAGCACAGCGCATGATTTGCTAACGAGAGAGAACTTTCGTTAGAATTACGTTCTTTCCTTAGTTAAAGAAAAATGCGTTATTCACCAAGCGTCAGGTCAAGATGGCTGGTCCGTTTTGTGTATTAAATGGATCGAGACGATGTCGAGGTCAATGATATCCAGCCATCTTTAACGAATACGATGGTCATTCAAGGCTTTACTATAGTCTAAGAAAAGAACTTTATTTTGCGGGACAACGTGGGAAATCCCGAGCTTTCACGTGGGCCTATCCTGCCCGCTCGGGCAACTAATCGAAACACAGGATTACTTTATTTTACCCGCATGCGAATTCAGCCATATGAAAAGAGATAATAGACAACAGCAAAAAAGTTTCCTACAAACACGATATGTTGCTTCGTATAAAGATTGCGTGGGAGCCGTTTGAAGAAGAAAGGCCACTTCCCAGTTCCAAAACCCTTACTTTTAAAACGAGGCTAAGTGGAAAACGTGCCCTGTAATAATGAGTTTCATTTTCATGAAAATAAAAAAAATCATTCTCATATCTTTGGCTTGGCAGTTAGTTTCGCATTAAAACAGCGCCATAGAGCAACTCGGTAATGGCCTATTACAGTGTGCAGACGACTTCAACGGGGCCCCGTAAGAACTTTCAGCCAATCAGAGACCGCTCCTTTAACAAAAAATTGGGCGTGCGGACCTCATCGGAAATTGTCCTATTTTTTTGATTTGTTACTTTCGATCCTAAATTTTTCGCCGATAATTGTGGTCTTAACGATGACGATAGAGATTTGCCACACTTTGTCCGCGACAGGATTCTAGATCTCCATAATACTGGGCAATCGCTCAAGAACCTGGAACCGACCATGCAAATGAAATGTCACGCAACACCGCAACGAGCATGCTTTCCCATTAAGCTTTCCCACCCGCGAGACATCCACGAACGTCGATCGTGCACCTCGCTAATTTTTGTTTCTCTTGTTGCAAAAATATTTCTCCGAGGATGCAAGAAAAAACGCTTTTTTACAGCAAGTGAGAAGTTTAGGAGTAATTATAAGAGCTATCTTTGAATTACAGGATAAGATTCCCGTTCGGCTGAAGAGGGAAATTGGGTAGTTACTCTGTGTCTTCTTGATAAAAACAGCGCCCAGCGCTGCGCCGACCGTTGATATTTTTTCTTGTTGAACGCAAGTATTTCTGTTAAAGAAAGACTTATCCTTCCTTTTTTTCACAAATGAATTTTCTGGACCCAGATCGAGAATGATGACTTCTAACTGAAGGAATAAGAAAATGCAATTCAGCGGTAAAGAAAACAGCTGCAGTGCGATGTTTTCAAACAAAGTCTTGTAACCAGACTGATTTTTTCGCCACAGATACAAGGCACTTTTATACCCCTTACCGAGCAATACATATAGCCAGCCCTTAAATAAATAAGCAGCTTGTATATTTTACAAAAAACAGCCACACAAGACAGACGGGTAAGTGTATACGACACACTATTCTAAATGGCGAAATCATTTAAGATCGAAAATAACCAATCGAAAAATAGGACAGTTCCCGATGAGGTCCGCACGCTTAATCCTTTGTTAAAGGAGCGGTTTCTGATAGGCTGAAAGTCCTCAGGTGGCCCCGGTTGAAGTCGTCACAATGTAAGGCACGCGCACACACGAGGGGCGGGCCTCCTTCCTCGCGCGTCCCTTTCCCCTTCAAGTACCTGCCACAGACCTGAATAAAGGTCCATCCTACAATAGAACTCATTATGCTTCATTTTACGCTCTGCTACCTCAGTTCAGTCACTTAAATGTAGCCCGTATTTGTTAGAAATTTCTAAGATTACTCTAATTACTTCTATGGCTAAAAACCGCTCATCATACTCAGGCTGTATCTTCCATATCAAATATTGGGGATTGCTATCCTATGCGCGCGAGAACTTTGATTCTGTGAAAAAGTTTAAGAGGGCGGATATGAGAGTTCTTTTGTCCTTGTTCCTAACACAATAATCGCTTATTCTAGTCTCCCTAGTTCTCCCCTGCTTTTAAAAAGACAGTGACTAAATGTATGGGAAATGCTTAGCCTTCGCTCGACCTCATTGTTATCACGCGGTGTTAAGTGTGCGACGTACCTTGGCTGATCTCTCCATTGTGAACTCCAAACCGGAATGTACTATGTCTCTCTCAGAGGCTCCCTGGAGATGACAATATCAACAGTTAGAATGAATCCTCTGAGACAACTTAAACTGTCTTGCGCGGTATTTTTGAAATAAAAAATATGAAAATAATAAAAAAAACATAACTAATAAACTTTTATCATCTTCTCCCCTTGTGGGGCTTTTCAGGAAATAATGAAACAAATAACTTAAATGAAACATAACATAGTTAAAAATCCCAACTGGTAGGAGGCAGACCAGTTACAAGCGTGGCTATGAAATAAGAGGTTTAGAACGGTGCAGGTCTACTGCGACAGAGAACAAATCCAACTAGCGGTCAGGGCGGGACTTAAACCCAGAGCTTCCAAATGATAAGTCCAGCGCTCTAACCACTCGGACACGATGCCTCCTCTTTTTTTTAACCGTGAAAAAAAAAAAACAAAAGCAAAAAACAAAAACGACAAGCATGACGTTCTTATTAAAAAAGTTAGTGTACATACAAAAGCATCTATATGAACGGGCGCAGTCCTATTGCCTGTGTTCTCCGAATAATCCGTTTAATAAAATACAGACTGATAATTGGGACCTTAAAGCGGAGTTCTTGCCTCTCCTGGGTTCAAGTTTTCGAAAACACTTGTACTAACCGCAATCTTGCTAATGAACTCCGCCGATGGCTTGATCGGAATAGGATGCTGCTTGAAATGGTTTTCCAAGCTTTCCTGGACGCTAGCTGTCATAGGAAAAGAACACTTTAGCATATAACAACTTTTACATGATTATCATCATTATCATTAAGCTATACTCTCCGAGGGAAAAGTGATTTCCTGTACTGTTTACTTTGCTTGGCAATGTGATTACAGTGTTTGATGTACCTGCGCACTCTTGAGCAAATCAAAAGGTACAAGGCAAGAGATGAAGGTCCTTATTTTACGTTGGTAACTAGTAACAATACTTAGACTAAAAAAACTGAGCCCCCTGAGTTTAAAACTATTCAGTTTGCGTAAAGTTCGTACCTAACAGATTAAAGTTTGCCTCCTTCTCGTATTTCCAGGTCAATCTTCCAAAACTGACGTGATTAATATTCTTAAGCCACTCAAAATATGACACTGTTACACCTCCTGCATTCAAATACAAGTCCTGCAAAATAAGGATCAGCCGAGTTTGAAAGGAGCAATGTCACGCTATTAGCTTGATCTTTTTAAAAAAACTAAAGCGCGTCGTTCCATCAATTACATGAGAAAAACAATATCCCAGTCTATATTTAGCCATTGAAACTGTTTTTCGTTGCCTGTAGCTACGCATGGCAAGGATGGACATGGACTGAAACTTGAAAAAAGTTTGGCTAACTTTCGAAGTTTCAATGTTACGCCTGCTAAAAATCACCAAAATAATTTTGTTATGGTTAGTGCTGCCCTGATAATATCTTTTTCATACCTCTAGAGAAGTTTTTTGCGTATGGTTAAAGGATGAACTTACAACGGCAATATCCTGGTGACATACCACCTACCCCTGCCATAAGAAATGCTCCTTTAAGGCTACTTGCAAGCACTAAGTCAAGAAACTAAAGCATTTACCGGAATAACAAGTTTCTCATTTTTAATAAGCACTTTTTCTGCTGCTGGCGTTGTTGGACCATTTGCACCCTCAGCAATAACCTGTGAAAAGAAGACAGATCATACTTAAACAAGTAGTAAATTTAAATTACGACAAAGATCTGTACAGGGAGCACTGTAAGTTACGGGGCGTTTAAAAGCAGTTGGTCCCCTGCTAATCTTTGGGACTGTTCAAGAAGTATAGAGGTGGATGGGCCGCAGCACAGAGAGGCTAAGTCATGTTAAAAAAGTTTTTAACTTTCCCAAAGGGGCAGGTTATGTGGTTATGAGCCTCAGAGAGGCGTCCATCATCACAGGTAGCCTAAGCTCGAAATATGAGCATCGGCATTGTTGCGTAACCCTCAAAATGTAAGATATGTAACCCATGTACTTAACAAATGTCAAAGGAATTATTTAAAAATCGGCTAACCTCACTTAATTGCACCCAGTTTGCTCTCTCTGTAATCAATTCATACTGGTTGAAACAAAACCCCGTAAAACGGCTGGGAGAGCAAACAAGAAAGTAAGGTTAGGCGATTTTTTACTTTTTCCCAACACAAATCCATATAACTTAATTCGTTGGTTACTACGCGAAAGTGCCTGCGCTTATCTTTCGAGCATGGGCTGCCCGTGGTGTTAATATTTTAAGGGATGTTAACCCAAGCAAACGTTAACCCAAAGTTCAGTCTACCTACCTTTGCTTGAATTTTATGGGCATTTTTGATGGTAATTTGTTTCTCGTTGGCAGCTGGAACTAGAATGTCACATTCTGCTTCTAAAAGGTTTTCTTCTGTCATCTATTTAAAAAAAAGAAGAAGAAAATAAGATATTCAGTGTATGCTGCAAAAAGGCAAACAGCTAAGCAGCATGCAGAAAGACATTTTTAAATTAACACAAACACGCACGAGCGTAGAACGGCGAGAAACGCCTCTTACGCGCGTGGTCATTTTTCGTCTCTCGCGCGTTTCGCGGACTAAGGAAAGAGAGGACGCTCGTGATCTAATAAGCACAGTAAGTATAGTACATTATCCACTAAAAGTCTAAAATGTCTCTGCAAGTGGATTACAGCCGTAAAAAAACAACCACCTAAAAGGCTTAGAGGGCAATACCCCAATGTCTCAATTTACCATCAAAGTAAGCACAGGGAACCAAATGGCTATTTTCTGAAAAATATTTGTTTGAATAAGCAAATACAGTGTATTGTGGAAAATTTCTACAACTCACAAAAGGCTAAAAATTCTAGATAACTGTTCCATTCACCTAAGTTTCTGAGAGTTTTTCTTTATTCCCTCTGTTTCTTGTAAGTTGGTTTCTTTATCTACTTTGCCTAACTATTATTAATCTATTTTTTTCTTCTGGTGCAGTAAAAATTCATATCAACATCTCTTTCTTTTCCACTTGACTAAAGCAATGAGGACGTAAAAACTATTGTTACTTAACAAACCTTGGCTCCAGGAAAACCTTTGATTGATCCATTGTTGTCCTTGATAACAAGAAATGAGAAAAGCGCTCAGTGTAAGAGTTTATTCATGTTTGTTTATGCCCGAATAAATTCTTCATGGATAAAACAACATCTAATACATGGTCATTTACCAATCAGCCATTTGATTTTGTTGAAAAGTTTGCTAAAATTTATCATGAGTGGACAAAAAAAGCTTTTACATGGAGAGTCTAATGAGTACATGAATTATAAGTCAAGTTACACTTCTATGGCTCAGGTTAGAGGTTTAATAGTGATATAGGATAGGTTTGAATTAGGGTCAGGTGATGCATGACTCGATCATGAGTTATTGACTCATTTACACTTAATAGACTATACTCCACAGTTATTTCAAGTGTTGATAAAGACCAGTGAGCAAATATCCTTTAAAATGGCTGGAAAGAACACCTTAAAATCTGTAAAGTTGCCAAATTTGAACGTGCTTTGTTGAAAACTAACGAAGGTATAGCTCTGCAAAGTGGCCTAATTCAACAGACAAAGGTATGGTTGGAAAGTGGAGGGGTCCGACCTTGCCCCAAACACACTTAAGTTTGCTCTACACTAAGATTTAACTGTCTATATAAGTGCAATAAATTTCATGTAAACACAGTCTATATCTTAACTCTAGCTATTGCTGTGAATGAACAGGATTTTTTTATTGTGATAAACATTGATTAAATACTTATATAAAAATGTCAAGTTTCATTACCAGTTTATAATCTTCAAGTTCCTTAGGATCAATTCCATCTTTATTGTAGATATTTCCATCTCGTTCCATGACACCAATGCACCTGGCTCCAGCACGATGGAGGTATCGGCAGGTATGAAGGCCCACATTACCGAATCCCTATTAAAAATCAACAATTTACACATTTTCAACCTTTCAGTTCATACTAAAAGCAGTTAACTGCAATTTATTATAAGTTCTCTTAAGACTTACCATAGAGAGTGGGTATTGCCTGCATCATTATCTGCTGACAATTTTAGGAAGTAAAGTACAACAAATACCACAAACTGCCACCAATAATCCCTCGACTTATGCATCTTCATAAAAAGGTTTAAGAAGAGCTTACACAATGTATAAGTGGAGGGGCTAATATCTTAACGGGCCTGAAACCCCAACAGAAAAAGTGCTTTGAAACAAACAATAGCAGTGCAGATCAAAGTACATTTTGCATTTACTGGTTTTTAATCAAGCTTCAAAACAATTTAGTAAATCCAATTCACATCAATACAAAGTCATTTTGGAGGGGAATTTATATCTGGGAGGGAGGAGGGGTGGCTTATAATCAGATGTATTGTTTTGTTTACAGGCAGATGGGCCTATAACTCAAGAGGGGGGAGCTTACACGTATGAGTCAGGGGCCTTATAAGCAGCATGGTGAACCAAATAAACTATCAAGTAAATTTATGGCGATAAATGTTTTGGTAATTTGCACCTGTATTTCAATCCTAGTGAACTGGTACATGTACAATGATGTACAACACTACAAAAGTCTCATTTTTACACCTCCACCAACAATAACCACCTTAAACAAATCTAATTCAGTCCACCTTCCCCTCCTTTAAGGCTAGTTACATAGGCAAAACAGACTGCATGCTTCATAAGTTTTTTGGAATGCAGCTCATAAGTGCACTTTAGAATCCAGTAATTAATAATTGGGTGCTTGCAACAAAGGGAGTGTCGTCTATTGTCAGCTAATTATAACCATGCTAATTTTTTTAACCAGCCTTACTTTAGCTATTCAATATGCTGTGTATTTGTAACAGCCCACCACAACATAACCATGTACAAGCTCAGATTACAAACTGAATGGGTGTATGCATACCAGGATAATTTTAGTTAAGGTACTAAACATGTATAAACATTCACAAAAATGTTACGTCAGATTCTTTAAATCAATACAGTCGAAGCTCTCCTTGCGACCACTCTGGTAAGAGACCACCTCTAGTCATGACCTCCTATGTGAAACCCCATTTAAACTGTAACTTAAACTTCATAATGAAAAGCTCTCGCAAGTGACCGCTCCCATAAGCGACCACGACCACTTTTGGGATTACCTAACTGTGCTTTTCCTTTGTTTTTTTTTAAAGCTCTTATAAGACTTATAAGAGCTTTAAAAAAAAACACTTAGTGACCACTCAGAGTCTTTATTCATATAAATCAACACTTTAACGAAAATGCACATTTGTGCTAGTGGTCTAAAACATTGGACTAAAGATTAGCTGTGTCTGTGACAGATACAAACAGACCCATTAAACAAGAATTGGTTTTGTTTTTTCTTTTTGAGTTATTAATGAGTTCCTGAAGCTCTTGTAAGCGACGAGCTCCAGTTACAACTTTTTCGAGTTTCGGAGGTGGTCGCTTATGAGGGCTTCAACTGTATTATTATTGAGGTCTGGCAAATACCTGAACTATAAATGTTTTGCCTCTCAGACCAGGTTCTAAGCCAACCAGCTTGCAATATTTTTCTGAACAAAAATAACCAGGTAGAAAACAAATAATTATGATTAGAATCATCTGCCACATACTACAATTAAAAATTTCAGAAAGGACTTCTACAGTAGGTTTGTGAACCCTTTCATCAGGCTAAATGTGATTTAGGCAAAGTTAAACTGTAAGCATTGCTTTTTTTCACTGTAGCAGCTCACATTCCGTGGGGGAAGTTCACAAAATTGAAGGGCTTGAAGACTTAAACAAGGATCATTTTACCGAGACTCATTGTGCAATTAAGTGTGTTTGGCATCTATAAGCCACCTTTTGCTGATTTCTTCCACAGGCCTTGAAGTTTGCTTTCCTCTGCTATATTCATTTGGTCTTTTTGCAATTGGCACATCGAATGAATAATAGCATTCAAGCCTCACTCTTCACCCTCATCACAGGTAACCCAGGCTCTGTGATAGTACTACAGTACGGTTCCAGTAAAATTACAGTGTTTGTATGGGGTAAAAATATCATCCTAAAATTTCTTGGAAATACTAAATAAAGATCAATGAAACTTACTCTGCAGTTAATTGTTGTTGTCCTTATTGCTCCAACGAAGTTTCGTGATAATTTGCAGTAATTTGTTCAAATTCACTCTATCTACAATAATAATATACAAGGTAGGAAACACGAGGTGCCATTTTCGCCGACATGCTCTCATTCAACACAACTTTTTCCATGAAATTCGAACTCCAACGGAAAATAAACATGCCAGGATCGTAGAAATAGGATAGCAGCAGATATAGAAACCAATGAAGCTTTCCCAGGTAGAGAAACGAATCCCACAGACTTGTACAAACTCAAAGAATATAATCCAAACACACCGAGAATACGCTCGCCAAAGCAGCCGGGCCAGATCAACGCGCAGCCAAGAAAATGAAGCCTGGGCACTGTACAAAAAAATTCCATCCCGGGTGTCCTGGGGTGACCTTTCTAGGGACCGATACATCATTTGCCCAAGGCCACCCTCCCCTGCTGGAAAAATACTTGATAGAAGGCAATTGTTCTTCCTAGCCAATCACTATGGCCTGTTATAAAGAGATTATTTTCCTCTCGAACTATATTCAGCTCCTGGCGCTGGTCCTCAGAAAGTTTATCAAACATCAATAGGGTAAGGTTGTAAGGGCAAAGGAAAGAACAACGAAGGACGATTTACAAAACTTAAAACGAGCAAAAGATATAAGTGAATTTTGGCTCTTACCGAGGCATTTGTACAACAGGACCAAATTCAAAGAGAGGTGTATCACGATGATTCACATATTTAACCGATAGAGCGTTCACTTGTATTGACAAGAAGTCGGCGTGTTACTGCCGCATTAATCCCTAAATTAATATGTTAATCGCGCTAGTTCTTTGTTTGCTAGTACACGTGCCTTTCACATTCGTCTCAGTTATCGCAATTCATATTCTGTCGCAATTTTCTGTATAATTTTTGACATTAGTTTGTAAGCTTCACCGTTTATTTACGATAGTTTCGCTTGAGAGTTCACAGCAACAGTATCTCAGTCATCATCTACCTTCTGTTCAACCTTGTTTTTAGCCCGCCTTGTAAGCGTTTCGCGTTGTTATTTCATTAGTTTCATTACTGTTATTTGCATTCCTTAGTAAAAGAAATGGGACACCTTGTAACTCCGCAGACTCTCCTGATTATATTACTTTTTTTTAGCCATTTAAATTCAGGCGCGTGTGCGGGGTTTGCTCTGGCAAATGGTGATTGGCTAGGAAGAACAATTGCCTTCTATCAAGTATTTTTCCAGCAGGGGAGGGTGGCCTTGGGCAAATGATGTATCGGTCCCTAGAAAGGTCACCCCAGGACACCCGGGATGGAATTTTTTTGTACAGTGCCCAGGATTCATTTTCTTGGCCGCGCGTTGATCTGGCCCGGCTGCTTCGGCGAGCGTATTCTCGGTGTGTTTGGATTATATTCTTCGAGTTTGTACAAGTCTGTGGGATTCGTTTCTCTACCTGGGAAAGCTTCATTGGTTTCTATATCTGCTGCTATCCTATTTCTACGATCCTGGCATGTTTATTTTCCGTTGGAGTTCGAATTTCATGGAAAAAGTTGTGTTGAATGAGAGCATGTCGGCGAAAATGGCACCTCGTGTTTCCTACCTTGTATATTATTATTGTAGATAGAGTGAATTTGAACAAATTACTGCAAATTATCACGAAACTTCGTTGGAGCAATAAGGACAACAACAATTAACTGCAGAGTAAGTTTCATTGATCTTTATTTAGTATTTCCTAGAAATTTTAGGATGATATTTTTACCTCATACATTGAACACTGTAATTTTACTGGAACCGTACTGTGGTACTATCACAGAGCCTGGGTTACCTGTGCCCTCATCAGGATCGATTGTTCAAATGCAGCAACTCAAGCAGTGGCTTGCTATGCTACATGTAACTGTGGCTATTACCGTAATAATTCAATTAGCACCCGCGGTGCTTTACTTTTGGTACCTCAAGGGAGGGCGCTTGCCCGAGACATGGCACTTATTCGGGACAGTGCGCTTATTTCTTTTTTGAGAAAAAACCAAATGTTAAAAACAAAACTTGAATGTTTATTAAAATGGAACAAAAACAGAAACTGTAACAGTAACAAATATATGGTGAATGTTCAGTTAACGTGAGGGAATTTCAATCTATTTCTACTCCAATTCATTGATGGTGTAGATAGGGGCTCGTTAGGCAACACACGACTTTGACCTCTTGCCAAAATGCTGCTTGTTCCAATAAATCTTTAGAATGGCACTTAATGGAAGAGGGGCCCTTATTAACAAGACAAGACAAGACAATGCTTTATTTGAAGTCTTATAAAGTCCCATGTACATCGACCTTATCCAAACAATTTAAAATCATAACACATACTGCACACTAGTGGAACTATAGTCAATGTTAACCTAAAGAACTAATGATCTTCTTTTCTCATAGCAGTTGAATTTTTGCCATTAACTTTTGCACTGGTTTGTTCTTGCTCAAAGGGTTTAATTTAACAACAGAAAAACATCATCTGGTGCCATTCTGTTTACTGATATTCTGTATTCTTTGTTTAAATATTCAAATAAAGTACTTCTTTTTTCTTGATACGCAGGGCACAGAGTTATTAAAAAATGTATTTCATCTTCTACGTCTTTTTTACGGATAGGACAGATCCTCTCTTCCGGTGTCTTACATACTGACCTGTCTCTATCGCCAATTTGCGATTACTTAGATGGAGTTTAGTTAGGGTTATCTGGTGTCGGATGTTGGTGACCTGACGGAGATAATCTTCACATTTATAATTTTCTATTGTTTTAAATTTTTGGAAGGTTCTCAGTTTGTTCTTTTGGTTGGCGTCTTTTCCTACGTTATTGTTTACGTCACTTAACCATCTTTGTAATTCGATGTCTCTCAGTCTTTATTTGATAATGTTCAAGATTCCAATGTCATTTTCATGTGCTTTTGTCCAGAGGTATCCCAGCCCTATTTGGTCTAATATGCGTTCGATTTTTTGGCTCCATAATTCCTTATTCATCCTCGACTTCATATCATTATAAACCTCCTACAGGTGATAATTTTTGTTTTGGGTGTTTGGTTAGAGTTAGCCAAAACTTAAAATTCCTATATTGTGCTTCAATTTTTATTGAGAATTTTCCGGTTTCAGCCTTGCATGCATTGTTGCTGTGTATTTATTTACACCTAGCAACCATTTCACGAATTTAGTTTGATCTAATTCTGCGGGATCTTTTTTTTTATTTTGGGGGGTTGGGGGCTTATTGGAAGGAGGGCACTAAGTCGAATCATTACGGTAATTATATTTAATCTGGACAAGGTTAACCTCACTAGACATCACATCTGGGTCAGCTGCAGTTGAGCTACAGAACGGCAGGCTTTTGAGGGGTGGTTACTAGCTTACATGTACATGTGATTGCATAATGGTTTGGTGGTTGTTGCTCACTGGTTGCCATGCATTCGTTGTGTTCGTCACTTATGCACCTGGCACCACCATCCTTTAGAGGAGCTACACTCAACCTCATCTATTTGCCTAATTCCTCTTTACCATGCAGAGAACGAAGCAAATTTCTGATTACCAAACACTTTGAAACGCGCCATGTTTACACCTGATTTTCGCAGGGAAGGCAAAATGCAAGCAGTCTCCACGCGCGAAGCATGAAACTGACCTTGCTGATTTTCTTTCATGTGTCATTCTCAACTCACAACGATTGTAAATAGCAACTTTCATGGAAAAATATAAGAAATTGTGTGCGCTAGAAGCAATTTTCTGAATACCAAACGTTTTGAAATGTTTCATGGAAGGTTTCAGGTTACATTGAGCAACATCAATCTCAACGAAACGCATCAACCTCAAACTTTCTCCGCCATCTCACTCGCTTTAACTCGAAGGAAGACTTCACAACGACCTTGCTAACCACCCAGAAGCTTATTGTTAGGCAACAAATCGAAAACACGTGAGAAAACGTTCAGTACACGTGCGGTTTTAGTGACATTTTAGGGCTACAATTGTCTGCATAATTTACTTTATTTACATGATAAAAACACAGCCAAAACGAAAATTTATGTCCTTACATTTCTTTTATTTTCAAAAGAACATTTTTGTGAGAAAAAATTAAGAAAACGGACCTAATAATGTTAACAAACATGAAATGGGCGGGGCCGCAATGCATCCTGGGTACTACAGAAATTGCTCCAATTAAGTCAAAATGAGCTAAAACGGGCTAAAATGTTGTAATTTAGTTAAAGAGGTTCATTTTCTTTGCAAATAAATGATTTTAAATGAATTTTGAAGTTTTTTAGAATTTTTCATATTTTCTTGACATGTTACGCATCTGTACATGTGTAGTGTGCCACTGATCATTTATCTTGTCCATAACAGTGGCCTGGAGTTTTCACATAAATATTAAAAGTTTCTGTGACTTATGGTTAATGGGCCTACCTGAACTAAGAAAGTTCTCTATTCCATGAAAGACACCCTGAAATGCAAAGTGATTACAGTTACAAGAAATTCTGGACTCATGCTTCTGTTTTACACTAGTCTGCATTATTAAGTTCCCCCCTCTGGGATAAAGCATATGGCATTAGCCCAATGAATTACACGTACATCCATCTCTTAATGAAAAAAATACATGGTGATGCATGATTTAGCCTGTCAAATTCTGTTATGCTTTACACATGCTGTACTGTACATGTACAGGTACAATTGTATTTTATAAGAAGGTACAAGAGAGAAAGTAAGATAATACTTACCCTCCCTGTTGCTGATATTCTTCCATGGATGCCACCAAGATAAATTGGTTTTCCAGTGACACATGCATAAGCATTCATATTACCATAACCTGCAATGGTCATTAAAAATACAATACAATGTACATGTAGGTGTAAAATTAAGAGAAATACATGTACACTGTAAGTTTGTATGCAGAGGATACAATATATGTAAGTAGGAAGTTATAATTGAGGGTGAGACCAGAGTGCTAACTGAATGCAAGGCTTAGATAAGTAGAATGCATCATCCATCGGGTTTCCTGCTGCCTTTTGAAAAAAGACGAGGTATTAATAATTTTTTAAGGTAACCAAAGTTTTGGGCAATCATTGCCCAAAATATTCTTGAGAGGTTTTAAAATTATTAACCTCTCAAGTACCTGTACAGGCTGATGAATGTTCACTAAAGCAAGCTGACTTTTCTACTTTGGTCACTCCATTATATAGCATTTATACCAAAAATATGCATGATCTGAAATATGTTACATGTAAACTGTGAAGGCAAATATTTTGTGGGCATTCTAACTACCAACAGTTCTAGACCTCACCCTTTTTACAGACAACACTATAATAAATTATAGTGCATACATGTACATTATTTTAGAATGTCACCTAATCACAATCACCTAATGTCATATCAAATGAGTCAGCAATCCAGCTCATTTCTCTCTCCCCAGTCCCCATGTCTGGTGCTGGCACATCCAGGCCTGGCCCAATGAAATTTTTCTTAGCAAGTTCCACTGTGAAACGGCGTGTTATCCTTTCTAGCTCATGTTGCTTAAAAAGAAAAAAAAGACAAGACCAGGGTATTTAACATGTATCACATCTCACTTAAACTTTGTTTTTTAGTAACATTACTGTAGGTACACAAGTAGATATAAAGTGAGATAATGCACAACTCTCTAAACTGAAGATATGAGCAAATTCCACAATCAGAAACTCTTGCAAACATTAAGATCTTTAACAGCCATCCAGCCATCCACATGATACACGAATACTCAAATGTCAAACAAAGAAGTATTTAGACTGATACTATTAAATAGACAAACTAACTTACAATGTATAAGCCAGCAAGAGAACTTCAGCAAAGAACGTGTATTTTGGCCATTCAATTTGCAGATGTACTTATCTTTGCCAGACTTGACAGACTATTGAACCTTAACTTTTCTAGCTGACAATTATAAACATGATTCAGTGGGTCAATGCATCTATCTAAGGTTGACCCTATTGACATTTGCTGCTAATTTCTAACTCAAGACAGGGGGATTAAATTACTTTAAATTTCCCTTTCTGTAGTAGATGGTAGTTTTTTGGGGGAGAAATATTTTTCTTGGATGGGAAGATTTGTGAATGTCATTGCATGTGCAAATGACTGGGGGTTCCCTGGGGTCCACTGCATAGGATAGCCACTGATCAATAAATTACTGCACAATTCAATAATGAAGCTGCCTAATTCAAAACTTTTATGGCAACATAAAAGCCATCATACAGTATAAGAGAAAAACGGGAAACTGCAGTACATACAACAGTACCAAACCGCATATGTAACTTCATTTATCTCAGCTCCAAGTGATGACTGCTTTCTCAGGCTTACAAATACATTTATGTTTATAACTAATGTACTGCCACTAATTGTTTAATACAAAATAAATGATGCAGCCCTTTAAAAAGGCTCCTTTCTACAGTGGTGAAGCAGAGAGTTTCCTGCAAAATACTGTACTTTCATTGCCACTGTTGCTGGCCTCTCTTTCTTATTAAAATGGGTTATTAGTAATGATACATACAATACATAAATGATGTAAATATGTAATAATACATACTGAGTATTTTGAAGGTCTGATCTTGATGCCACCTTTAGCTCCACCAAATGGAACATCCACAACAGCACATTTGAAAGTCATTAGGGTGGCCAAAGCTTGTACTTCATCGATATCAACATCTTCACTATACCTAATTCCTTTAAAATACAAATTAATTCATTAATGTATAACCATGTAAAATCAGAAGCTGTTTCACTTTATTGCTAATTTATTTTTAAATCATAGTAACTGCTTTATTGAATCCCATCTTAAATATCACTATGTTAACTCAGCATGGCATAAATTTAAAAAAGAAAATGTTGTTGTTGATTAATTTTCTTGCTGGGAACCAACTTTTGTGTCTTTCAGGTTGTTGCAAGCCGCAATCTTAGACAAAAACCTTGAAACACTTTGGAAAATTCTGCTCCCTTCTGTTTTCCCCCTCCCTTTTGCAATGTTGTTGTACCCACGCAACTTCGCAATAACATCTCACCATCTCAACAAATTGCAGGGGGAAGGGACGTGCATAGGTGTGTCAGGGATTTTTGGCGAGGACTGCAGCTGTAGAACATGTTACCAATAACAATCAGTTTTACTCTGTAACAATATTAACTTTTGTCTTGTATAACTCGACCTTTTTTCGAATAACTATTACTGTTAGTACCATTTGAAGCACAATTTTCATTTTCGGAAACCCACAACATGTAGTACCTATAATACAACTTCACAACTTTGTATTCCCTAAGCATGGTTGCCACAGCCAGAGATTTCTGAAATTCCTGAGACCGAAACAATTTCCACTTTCCGTTTTCGTATTTATTGACTTCTTAGTTGGGACACGGGTGGCCATGCGATTTCCCGCCAAAATAACCTCGAGTTGCATCTAGGTTGTCATACCTGTTGATTGACTTGTTTTGCATTGGTATGGCTGTGGTGCAGACACACAGTCGCTCCCTCAGTGTACGGTCACATTATTACCAAATTTTTTGGGATGAGTAGATTTAGTTACCCATGGTGCTCTGCTAACATGCACAAGCTCCGCTAATAGTATTTATAGTACACTGTATGGTCCCCGCCCTCATTGTTGGTATTATCACTTTTTCAATTTACAGAGTAGCAAGTTGACAAACCTCCTTTACATGGAGTTCTGTGATGGCTGTGTTGAGCTCTGTATCCTTGAATAATTTCAAATTCACCATTATCTCGCTTAACTGGAAACATTATGGAAAGTACATCAGCGCAGGGTTTCATCACATCCAAAGTGCCTGAGTGTGAAAACAATTAAAAAAAATGAGGGAGGAGGTATTTTAAACATGCATGAAGCTTAAAGTGAGCAATCAGGGCTCAGAATTAATAATGGCTGGTCAACAGACAATGTCCGGATAATAAGATGACCAGTTGTCCAGAGAAACTTCGGTTTGTCAGTCATTTTGACCGGACACATAAATTAAAGCATCCGGAAAAATACAGTTTCACACAATTACGTTTCAAGAAGACTAACATCTTTCCTATTTTATGTTTTTGCTTGTTGGCCTAGTGTGTTCAAGTTATCATTGTTGTTGACCAGTCAGAAGAGAGACGTGACTGAGCTAGAATTTCTACTCCTGGTAAGCACGACTGGCAACAGTCCCAAATTTATTTTGAGCTCTGGCAACTCTGGCCAGCCGTCTCCTTCATTAATCATATACTAGGTTATCTTAAGGCTTGTGTAGTGTATGCTCTGACTAGTTGTCTTCTGTCACGGAGTTTTGTGTTACATTTCACGCATGACATTTTTTGATCTTAGATGTAGCCGATCACGTTTCGAACACGTGATCATGCGACACTCTGAATGAAGTAGTTTTTCGATTTAGAGAATTGTAATTTTGTTGAAGGCACGTGTATCGGTTTAGAAGCCCATTGCTTTGTGGAACCCTATCGCATTTGGCAAGTGTAACGGAATGGAAGCCCGTTACTGTGAGAGATCTATTGTTTCAAATAAAATCTATCACATTCCATGTGTAGTCATTAAAGCCTTTTTACTCCCAGCTTTCTCCTCCCTCTGGAGATATCTTAGGTAAGAATCTAAAAACTCTCCACTAAGGTTCTCAGTACGATGGTGCCTGGTGGTTGCCTCTCACAGGGTTGTCATGGTTACCTTCCACACACCCTTCTGGCTACAAGAGTTTGTTTAGAACTCTTCCCCAAAGCCATTCATTGGCAATAGATTTAACCTTTTGAACATCAGTGATTAGTTTTTATTTGTATGAGGTGTCACTACTCAAAATTTCATTTTGTTGAGTGTCCATGTTGACTTTGAACTGTGTTTGCATGTACAGTCTCCTTTGAATTTGCTAGAATTGTAATGATCTCAAATCAGTTTCATAATGAAAGCTCACTTCAACATGAAGAGCCAAGTCAGACTTAGCTCAGACTCAAAACACCACGACGCACTCCTTAAAAGGAATTGCTGGGGGTTGGGAGTGGGCGTATACGATGTCGTAGTTCATGGTCTATCGCTTTTCATTGATCTGTGGACTCATTCGCAAACGATTTCTGTTCTTGATGTTTTGAAAACACGGAATGCACAAGGACGAAAAAGTTGTGTTAAGTATTAGCTTTCTGTTATTTTGGAATTAAAAAGTTACAAAGAATTAACAAAGCAACGGGACTTTAGTAAGGTATTCGATGTTACTGGCGTAAGCGGCCTACTGGCCTGATCGACCGGCTTCATCAAAGTTTTCATCTCAAATTACAACCAAAAACGACCAAATATGTGTAGACTCTGATATTTGAAAGCACCTTCTAGATAAAACAATCTATGTCGCGCAGAAATTTCCGTTCGATTAACAAGAAACAAATCCATCGAATACCTCAACAGAAAAAAAATTTTATCACACACAGTAAGTAATCGGCTCCCATCACACATAATTTTATGTTGGAGTCTCGGCGCAGAGAAAGACAAAATCCTCACTTCAGTTTACCTTTTATCCTATGCTTTTTCTCTTCAAAATTCTCTGGGCGATGACCTGGGGGATCCGGCTTTGTTAGCAACCTATGTTCAACGTAACTTCTTGCATTTTCAAAGAAACCTTCACACATTTTTGTGAAAGAAGGATCTTGTGAATCTGAACTTGTTGACATCTTTGCAATAGCATTTTGAACAGCAGGAAGACACTTCGTACTTCTAAACAACGCGGCCCTTATTGTACTAACACTTTGAACGCCGAACATTGCTAAACTTTCGCGACATCAACGCCACTTCGACAAACAAGGATCCTCACAGATCGCCGCCACGAATTTTTCTGTCCGCCTCAACTCAGTTGATTGTGAGGTGACACCGCTTAGCCAATAAGAGATTCGTGCCAGTTCTAATGAGCTATATCCCAAGAGACCTTTCCGCCTTGCGGTTGTGACCCAAGACGTCTGTGTTGCCGTCAGTTTTCCTCTTTCCTGTTTCGCGATGTTTCGGTCCGTGTCCATGATTAAAAGAAAGGTTCTAGGGCAGGTTTGTTTTACAAAAAACCCGGCGGCCCATGTCGCCTCGTGGCGTGCAGGCGCAAAGGGGAGAAAATTCTAAAGACAGAACTACAAATCGGGATTGCCTAAATACGGCACCAGGACAGAAAATGTGACAAGCGTGATTGTTAATTTTCTTTCAGCCAAACCTAACGGGACTTTCGGCAAAAAATCCACAGGAGAGAAGGCCTGAGCAGACCGCTGTAGTGCACCTGTCCCAGGTATTTAGATAGTGAACATGCGCAAAGAGAGGTGAGCGCCAGCAGAAAAAGAAATAGCTAGCTAGAGATGGGGTCAATGGAGAAAGAAGACTCTCTATTTCTCTTCTTCCTCCTCCTGGGAGAAAGGCTGGAAAATGGAACTTGATATTACCAGTTGCAACGCCCTTCGGCCATGTGTTGGAGGGTGGTTTCCACCCCGGGCGGGGGGGAGGGGGTACTCGATATATCTTTGGGTGGGGAGGTGCGGCCCGGCCTCTCATACCCTAACCCTGTTTAAGACAAAAATCGCTGATTTTCCTACCTTGTTTATGACAGAATTCCGATTTTTGATACCCTGTTGAAGGCATTTAATCCGAAACCATACTCTGTGTAAGACAATAATAAATAAAAATTTTGCTGTAGTTTAGTTCGTAGAACATAGGCGCAGGCTGTTTATCGTCCAAGAAAAGTTACACTGTTTAAGACCCGCCATGTGGCGGCCTCTTCTTCTCCATCTCCTCGATCTAGCGACTGTGGTTGCCACTACCAGTCAGTGCTTAGAGCGGTGGGGTGAGCTTCGTCGTTACCTTCTACAGTCCAGCCTGCGTGAACAGTCCGTTGGTGATGTGTCTGACGACCCATTGTCGTCCTCTACTTTCTTCGACCCGCTTTTACGAACAGGGGCAAGAGAACTCAAAGGGATGAAATGGCGGAGGATCCGCCGTTGCGGCGTCACTGATGAAGTTTTTAGTTTTGTGTTGGGGAACGGCTCGTCTCATTTTTTAGCCTGGGTCCAGGTTCCGCATTGGCGTGGGCAAAGAAAAAAAATCGGCGAGTTTGGGGAGGGTAAAAGGGCCATTGCTGGGCTCGCTTCGCTCGCCGATATTTTTCCTATTTGACCGCGATTTTTGCCTTTTCCCCACCACTACGGAGCCTGGTCCCAGGCTACTCAATTTTTTTTCGTTTTCTGTTTTCTGTGGGAGTTCTGCTCTCCGCCCTCTCTAGTCGTAATCTGAGTTGTACCGTACTTTATTTGCATCCGTTCCGTGTGGGGGTGGGGTTCACATCGGCTGCAAAGTTGGCGTTTTGTGGCCTCCGTTTAAGCGTACCCACCTCATATGTGGCACCCACCCTAACCGGGGGAGGGGTTGCCCGTTTGCTTGAACACAAAAACAAACGTCATGAAAATTTGGCGACTTTGCAGAGCCATACCTTCGTTAGTTTCCAATAAATTACGTTCAAACTTAGCATTTTTACTCATTTTTAACGCCTTCTTTGTGGGACCTTTTAGCCGTGTTGACAGATTTTTGCTTCCCGGTCCCATTCAAAATTGAAAAAAAAAAGAACCGTGGAAGGGTCTATTACCCGCTTCTCTTTGCTTTGCAAGGTCCGACACTGAACACTGAACCGACCCAGTATTACGCACCGCCTAAAAATCAACAATCCCAGCGCACACTGCTACAGGAGACTCCCAATGCGCATAGTAATACAGGTTTTGTCGGTGGGAAGGGCAACCACATCACTGGCTCCCGTGGAGTTAACCATTTCCTTCCAGGACTAGTTCACGTTGAGATGGTTTGTCACCAAAAGCCATTATGGTTCTTGTTTGTCACTGAACATTTGCAGCTGTGGGCGAAATCCTGTTGTTACCATCAAACGAAACCTCTTTGGAATACATACTATATTAACTTTTACGATTTTCAGAAAGAAATGTAAGAGGAAATAAGGAGAGAATGGGTGAAAACCAACCCACCCTATATACAACCGATGCAACACAAACAACTTATTTGACTTGCTTGATCTTTATTTCCTATAAAATTTAGACTGATATAGAATATCTACACATTCAAGCAGCTTACATCTATTTTAGCATTCTTCGTAAGAATTTGTTCTTCGCTACTTAACTTTGGCTGTAAACATTAGGTTATAAATAGGTATAAAATCTACTTTGCTCACGATATAAGGGGAGAAGAAACGACGAAACATTGTCTAACGAGTTCACTAAACTTAGTAACACACAACCCTAAATTCACAAACGTTGTACAAACGATGAAAGATACTGCTACGAACGGTATATAAATGAAAATTGTAACAGCGATTGAAATATTTTACGTTCATCTCTACTAACATACTAACTAGGGGCACGGAAGAAGACACGATTGCTTTTCCAAATTTTCATTGGTTTCTTAGTGAGTCTAATGTGATAACTGGTTACTTATTTGCGATTTTAATGCCACATTGTCGAGAACCGTTTAACACCGAACCACTACAAATTCAGTCGTTTGACAAGCATTTTGGTTCAGCCAAAAGCTTACAGCGTTTAACCGCTGCTCAAGTCCCATTTTGCTTCATACACAGAGCTGGTAGGTATTTACAGCCGCTAAATCATATCTTTGATATACAATATTTATAGAGAGATATATAAATACATGCTAACATTTAATATGTACAATGGGACACGCATGAAATCTTACTTTGCTGTTACGTGTGGTCGTCTCATTAATGTCAATGAAAAAGCAAGAAAAAAGGCTGTAAGATTGGGAAAAAACTCTTAAAAGTAAACCATCATCACGAAAATTATCAAGTCAAAGTTGTTAGCAAAACTTCATAGGAACTATGGAGAATTGTTCTAAATCTGGATAGTTTTCAAGCAAAAATATAAGAGAGATCTGGTTTGTATATATATAAAAAAATCTGGGCCTGATGAAAAACAAGAGAAATAGGCGAAAGAAAAAAAAATCGGAGTTAAATAAAACTGAAAGCAAAGACATCTTTGTAAGAACAACTGTAGAATAAATATCAAAAGTCAAAAACTTGTGGGAAGCAAGGAAACAAACGACAATAAAAGCGTCATCCGTTGAACCTACTCGCAAGATATGGAGGTTCAAATTCCAATTCAGATTTCTCAACAATTACGAGATCCAAAACGGATTTTGCATTAAGGATTCGATAACCTACATCCACTTTATAAAAGGATGTTGGTATCAAATCGGGATTTTCCTAGCGAACACTTTGGTCGAGTGTATTCTGCAAGCATGTATTTACCAAGAGAACATGGAAAAGTGCGAAAAATATAAAGCGGACGGGTATGCTGGTCGACGACAAAATTACTTTAGAAGACTGGAAAGTAAAACAATATACACTTATGACTGGTGCGAAGGGAAACAGTTAATTTTGTTTCCCGAGAATCTCGAAACAAAGTTAAATGTTTCCCTCGGGACCAGTCTTTGAGTGATTTGTTACATAGCTGGACATTTTGAAACCAGAAATTCATGAAACCTCGCTATAACGGCGGTCGTCGGTCAACATTCGCGGGTAACAGTGCACTGCTACCCTCTGACGTCATAGATTTTGCAACGTTTAATACCCGCAGAGAGATTTTGGCGGGAAACAGTTTCATTGTTAGATGTTATGTGACCTCGAAGTAACCAATGAGAGCGCGCGCTGTTGGAAAAAAATTTCCAGCTATATAACAACATTCAATACGCAACTACATTTGGCCAGCCAATCAATCTCTAGCCACCTCTTACGTAACTAAAATTACTCTGGCGATATCTTGATACTACTTCACTACTTTTGTGTCTCATACATCTTTTAGACTCCCTACCTGAAATAAAACGGATACATCCCTCTAATAACAATGATAAAAAAGAACTATTAGAACTGAATACTACTAAATGTTTACAGTTAGAGGCGTAACAATCTTTAATTTATTTATGCATATATTATAGCATTTACTAAACGAATTCCAAATGTTGGAATCATAATTCTTTTGTGTCCATAACACACCATTGTGTATGGTTAAAAACGTTCTTTGTATTATTCACATAACGCAAGAGTCAAATTAATTTGTCCTTTGCATAATAATATCATTAATCCTGAGTTTGACCCATAAATCACAGTTTCACGAGCTCTGTTCTAAGATACATTTTGTTGCATCGGTTCAATATACACGTCCCGTTAGCTCACAAGATAAAAACAACGCCTTATCTGAGATCACTGTTTTCTCCTGTTCATGCTTAAACACATCATTAAAAAGGCGAAATGTATAAAAACATCACGTAAAAGAGGTACAGCAAGATTAAGGAACTGTCAAACAATGGAACTGTAAACCGAGGAGCGATCGTTAATAAAAGTGCATTCACCACTTTGGAAACGAAAGTGGATTGGAGCAGAAATGCGTCCCGCAATTGCTTCTGGGATTGTTCCTCGAGATGCGCTAGTCAGCTATTGGCTGTTTTTTTCACCCGTCCCTTGTGGGAGTCCCAGGGGTCATAGCGAAAGTTAACTCCGCTCAGTTTCCTTGTTGTTTCTAAGGTGGCGATTTTTTACTTAAAAGTACACGCTTCTAATAGTTAACGTGAATACAGCTAAATTCGACGAAGGATAACTCTTCGCTATGCGATTAAGACACCCAATACAGGAGATACACTGACTACAAATATATTCCTTTAAGATGTATATTACTATGTCTTACTTGCAAGAAGCAAAGTAAAAAAACCCTGAATCAGTATGGTTCTTTAATATTTTGAATAATGACTAATAGCCACATATTATATTACTCAAACATGGAGAGAATGTCTTCGCTGGGCATGTCGGACGGCGTCAAGTAGCTAAAAAGTTCTTCTGGGTCGAGGGTACCTGGTAAGACCTGAAAATTGAACGGTAAGCCGATAAGTGAATAAGCACAACGGCAACATGGTGCTGAATGCACTTCAAAGTTGCAGTGGCAAAAACGAATGTATGGGGGCTCAAAACTGGGAACTCTTTAATATAACTCCAGACTCGCTCCCGGGTAGAGTCAAACGTTAACAAGAGAAAGCTCCAAAACGGTTAGCAACAGAAACTCCAGTTGTTTATGACAGCTCCAGTTTCAGATGCGCTTGCATGATTACCGGTCGTTTCGATACAAAGTTTCGATACAAGTCAATTGAGCCGAGGTATAAATAGTTTCGCGAAGTTGGCTTATAGAACGAGGACTATTCAAGTCATATGTTTTTCTTGTCCAGGTGATAACTAAAAATTAAGAGTTTCAAATTGTTGAGCAATGTCACTGCTTGAGTTTGCATCAAAACGACCTGTATCACCTTCGTTCTGATGCAAGGTTACTTCCAAAATGATCACAGAAAAACACAATCACATAGGTAAATCATTTTGATTTCATCGTATTACTGATACAGGGTAGGCTACGTAGCGCTCGGCCTTCCTGTAAATGATTACACAAACAAACAACTTACATCTAAAGCGCCTTCCACTCCATCTGTTCCTCCGCCATGGTCGCTCTCCAGTACATCGAAGTTAAACTCATCTGGGAGGTTATCGCTTTCCAAGTCGGGCGCCGTCGTATCAGTGTTCCCAGCTCCAGAAGCCTGAGGAAGGCCTGATGGGTGTTGTGGCCTATCCGTGGTCCCCTTCTGGCTATTATGACTCCCTGGAGTCTGAGGAGTCGCGGGACCTCGGCTTTGATTAGCATTTTGCGTTGTGGCTTGACTGGTCACTGGACTAGGAGTCATTTTATCAGCTGCAAAAATGTGCCAAAAGGTATCAAGTTAAAACTAGGAAGAAATTCCCTGAAGAGTAGATCCACATATAGTGGTAACTTGAAAAAGATAATCGCCATGTTAGACGAAGAGAATACCGTAAAATTCCGAAAATAAGCCCCGCCATGTATAAGCCCTTGCAAATATAAGCCCCCCACACTCGTAACGCAAAAAACCCTCCGTTAAATCGCCCCTCCGAATATAAGCCCCCCCGGGGGCTTGTTCTTGGAAATTGCCCTCAAATACAAACTAAAATAACGCAAAAACGGTCAATTTCCTTCCAACTATAAGGCTAGCCCAATCGATTTTCAAACGCAAATTTCCCTCCATAGATAAGCCCCTCAAAAAGGGCCTTTGAAAAATATAAGCCCCAGGGCTTATTTTCGGAATTTTACGGTATCTTCCGTCCGTCTCTACCTAGCCTGCGTAGCTGGCGGGATTGTTGTGCTCGGGGTACTTTCTGGGTGACAGAGCCTCGCAGCCATTTTTGTCTCCTCAAGCAATTGTTGGGGAGGGAACACGTGAAGAGACAAAAACGACTCCGAGGGAGAAAAATCTTCACGCCCCCAGAAAACTACAGCAATCGCCCTTTAATCCCGCTAGCTACGCAAGCTAATCCCTACCGCCGGTATTCGAGCCTGTGACTTAACTTCCAAACACCAGGGGGGTGGAGAGACCCACGAAGGATAATAATCAAGAAGAAGTGGGCACAAAACGCAACGCATTTGTCAAGTTTTTACTTATTTTATTTATTTTTTACGGAAGTGAATTATCACTTCCCCATTCTAAGGCAACCATTACGAAACACAAACAGCATTGATTAAGAGGAGTCCTTCTCAACAGACTGGCCCAAAAGATTACATAAGCGTGAGCTTAGAACTTCTCATGCAATTAATCAACCACGCCATTAATTACACAATACAGAGCACGTAGTCTTTTTTGCAGGTTTTCATGGAGAGGGCGGAGGTGGGTTTTTGAAACAACTCACCATTATGAGGTGTTGCTGCCTGAGCAGTTGATGCAGTACTGCCACTGTGCTCCTGTAACTGTCCAGCTCCAACAGATGAACTGTGTGTCTCAGGAGGTGTGCGTCCAGGAGGAGTGGGTGCACTCATAGGAGGATTAGACGGCGGCTGTGTCTGGTATGGCGAGTAGTGTCCACTGCTACTGGACATCTGAGATGTTGGTGTCCTGACACCAGACAGTGGCAGCGAGTCAGGTGGTGACGGGCGTGGTTTTTTCGATGGCTGCGGACCTTGGCACTCCTCATCTTTAGGTTCTTGTTTAACCGCTACTGGTTTCCACTGGCTGTTTGGATCGATTGTTACTTCTTCTACGTCAGTACTGAAATAAAATACAGCCAGCTAACTTAAGTGTGGAGAAAGTGTAGAGTGTCCTCATAATTCAGTTGGTGTGGTAATAAATTAATACACTTGAGGTAAAGTGAAGACAAATCATAGTTTGAAATTAAACATGATTTTAAACAAGGAAGTGCTTGGTTAATACAGCATTTGCAACAAAGATAAGAAAGTTTTTATTAAACTGTTTCATGAAGTTCCTAGAAACCTAGTGTCTAGGGAGATTATACGTAGGTGCTTTTAGAGCAGTGCAGTTTTATCTATTTCACTACTGGGTTGAGTTACGATTTATTAAAATACAACCCCTTCAGCCATCTTTTCAGCCTGGATTAAAATGATACAACCTGTAACGGTCTGTGGCGGTCTCTGACACGATTAGACGCCGAGTGGTCCTGGGATGGTTGAGCGACCGATATACGCGACCGCGCGTGAAAATCGCCACGGCGAGGAAGGTGACACGCGTGTCTCCTTCTCGCGGTAGCCTGTTCCAAGGACCGAGATAGTCGGATCCACGGAATTAAGAAAGCACGAGCACGATCACGCTCTCATATTTTCGCGTCCCTTTCACTTACGCGTCATCCCTACCATCTGAGAGCCTGGTAACAGGCTACGCGAGGGTCACCATTAGGAATTGACAGAAACCGGAAACCGCGCTTGAGAAGTCTCTGGTATCTAGGGTAGACCTGACGCAGACTGGTTGTCGTTCGTGTCCCTGAATGTTGGTTGCAGACCCTTACAGATCACGGAAACCAAACTCAAGTTCTTTAATGCGGGTATATAACAAAATAAACAGCTTATTCGTAATAAGGCAACAATAGCAACCACCTGGAAGCTGTGAGGATTCCCCACATGAACTGATCAACTTCCAGTCCTTCCAGAAGGGCAACTTTACTGCAAAACGACAGAAAAATAAACAAATTAAATTAGAAGTATATAATGGATAGTTTTGTTCAACAAATAGCTGGCCTCAAGATTTCAGTAAAAGGTGTTCCAATACAGCTGAAGAAAGTTAAAATTAATTCTCTTGTTGTTTGCTATTTTTCTTATACACTTTTTAAATACAATAACCTTTTTTAATCCATTTGAATTCTTGCCAAAACACCCTTCAATTTCCCATGATTGCATATTCAAAACTTACCTACAAACCGGACATTTCCAACTTCCTCTTTCACAGTTGAGTCTCAAGTAGGATTCCAAGTCAAAACACTAAAAGAATAGAAAACAAAAGCTAAAGTTTTTGAACACTTTTTTGGATATTTTCTTTGCCCGAGAGTTACAGAAAGGACACTGTCAGACAAAAAACAGCTATTTCAGTTTACCTGAATGTGTTTACAATCATGGCCTCTGGCTGGCAGAGTTATTCTTCTAAAGGTTATAGGACATTTCAGGGAAACTTTGATGGCCGTTTGCTCCACACTATCATCAGTAGCGCCACCAGCAGACGAACATAATGAGAAGTTTCTTTTTACTGTTGATTAATACAAACAAAGAAAGGTTAATTCACAAAGTATCGTACCGTTTCACAAAGAAAACAATGACCCTCTGTCTCTCTGGTGTAAAATCAGGGGTTAATACTCAACGAACTGGTTTGTAAGCAGGGTGCAAAGAAAGTCAGTTATACAGCCTGTCATTCGGGCAAGCTGTAACTAGCATGTACTAGCCCAGAAGTCATTTCAACTAGCCCCAAAACCCTTTTTGATTAGCAGGATTGATTACAATCCTTCTGTAATTTGAATTTCCCCAAAAAACAGCACTTGCCCGTTGGGCAAGTTAAGAACAAAAATCACTAGCCCGATAGCAAAATCCACTTGCCCCAGGCTATCGGACACGACTTTCTTTGCACGCTGGTAAGGGGCTTCCTTCTTTAGTTGGTAAAGCAATGCGGTGCTAACAAGGAGGCCATAGGTTCACATCCCCCTGAAACCCCCAATTTTTTTTTGTTCTAGGCTGGGAAGGGGGGGGGGGGGTGCTTGATTTGTAATTGCTTCAATTGCAATTACAACTGCGACAGTCATATCTTTATTTACATTGAAAATCAGATTCTTCCAAACTTTAAGAGACTCAGTAATCATATGACCTATAGTAAAACCTGCAAAATGTTTCAGGAACAGATACAGGTACCGTACAGAATGTAGTACAATGGCTCCAATTTACCAGTGCATAATTTAAATTGTGCCTCACTTACTTTTATTGATACAATGTTCCGCAGGAAGTAGTCGTTTCCGGAGTAAGCTTTGCAAAACTGAGCTGACAGATGGTCTATGGACTAGTTGAAGAACAAAAAGGTGCGACTAAAAAAAAAACACACTGTATATCAGTACATTTCACTCTTTTACTCCTTAAATAAAACTAAAGTAGTTTGAATGATAAAGTGCACCAAATACTTCAATGTAGGGGCATTTGACACCCTCTCAGGCCCTGTTTACTTCGAGAAAATCTGTCCCGAGTAGAATGGTCAGCCTTCTACTCTGGGGCACAACTTTTCTCCATCATAAAGAGGGCCTCAGTGCCTACAAGACGGCTCATTGTTACTTTGAGAGAAGAATTCTCAGAGAATGCTGAAAATGCCTCTGACACTGAGAACAAAACAATAATTATGAGGAAATGCAGAATATAGGTACCAATGAAAATTAGTGCATAGAAAGCAGCCATTCAACAAAGAGGCTGTGTGATAGTAACTATTAAAGTGATGATGTCACAAAGATTAAATTTTTGACATTATGGGATTTGTTGGGACATTTTGAAAGAACAACCATCTGAAAGGCCTACTTGCCAAAAACTAGCATTGTGGGGCAAATTGACTCAATACAAATCCTCCTAAATTTGACTCGGTTCCTAATGTTATGAACTGAGTCAAATTTAGAAGGATTTGTATGGAGTCATCAGAACATAACTGGGCTAATATCTCAAAGACAACTTGCCCTGGAATGCTAATTTTTAACAAGTGGGCCTTTTGATGTTGTTCTTTCATAATACTCCGAAAAGTCCCATAATTTAACAGATTTAATTTTTTTATGATGTCACACTTTAGTACTCTATTGTCCTTGGGTCTTAGAGACCTACATAGTGCAATCAAATAAAACTCAGCATTTTTCTACAAAGGCGATTATCATGTGGTACCATTGAAAGATATGCAAACAGCAATGTTAACTAGAGTGTTGTACTCACACAGCAGCATGCAGTAACTGTAATTTGTATGGTGTTCCGACCAGGTTTACAGACATTCTTGAGATGAAGAGGTTTGTGCGATGTTTTGTTATCTCCTTGCTGTAATGAAGATTAAAGGAATATTTTCAGTGACACATGTTGCACTATGTTGCTAAAACGAACCACCCTCTTACATCTGAAATGGTCAACATCAACTAAAGAGGACACCTTAGCCTATAAACATCCCTCCCTCCTAACATCTCTAGCTCTCTTTGGTTGAAACAAAACAAAGCAAACAAACAACAACAACAACAAAACTCTAAGCGTCTTGAGTGCACACTGGAAAACATGACGAGGTCTCTGCAGCAGTGACAAACCCCCTTAAGCAGGATTTATTTGCAGTCTGTTCTACTTCATAGAGTTCTACTCTTGGCTCATATGAGTGAGGCATCTATAAAACAGGTCACAGGAAGGCAAAGTTGAGGTTTCTATCTGACAGCAAAAAGAAAGCAAAGCTGATGGAAATCGGAACAACCTCTGGTATATTATTTACCCCAAAACAGCTACACTTGTGTAGTTTTTACTCACAAACGTAAGAGCACTTTCTGGTTACTTTTATCGAGACTACGATCTGACTGGATAGTCTTGATTAATACTGATTTTGACTTCTCTTTAACACTGAACTTATCAGCCAAGCAAATGGAAAGCTCACCCTCATTAACCTGGCTGTCTAAGGATCTAATCAACTCACCCTTTCAATGCCAAGAGGATTAGCATTGACACTGACAGTGACTGATGCAGGCCAATTTGTGTACATCTGTTTATCTTCATGATGGTAACACTTAAACTGAAGTTCAAGATCAGGCCTGCAACAAAAGGTGAAGATTGTTCAAGCCAAATTCCAAACATCATTGAATATTAGGTGACATAAACAAAGGATTGTTTGTCTCTTCCCTTTTGGCTTTTCATGAATTACGAAATAAATAATTCGGAAGGAACATAACATGGTAGACTTGAAAAAAAAAACCCTTTGTCTGATTTAATATGGCACGAAATGAAGGTCAACCTCTAGTCGCTCGCTTGGCCACTTCATGGCCAAAAAAGCTTGCTCTGCTGGCTTAGAAACTCGTGAGGTTGACTTGTGGCAAGTCTAATAACATGGTTAAGAATCCCAACTGGTAGCGGGTGAACCAGTTGGCTATTTTACAGGCTTGGCAGAAGATTTGAGCTCTGGTGTACCAAGAACAAATCTGGCTAGACCATAAACTTGGGGTCCCTGGATTACAAGTCCAGAACCCTAACCGCTCGGCCATGCTGCCTCACAGTGGCTTTGAATGCACTACACATCAAGGGAAAGTTTGAAAACCCCAGAGTGGCCATTTTTTCTTTAATGTGTTTATAGTCTACTCAGGATCTGCTTAGGCCATGCAGCTGCCTGTTTCAGAATTTTTACACCTGTGTACTTTTAATAATTACCTCATCATCAGTGTTTGGTGGACTGAATCTCTAAGATGGAACACATGGTTACTAACTGCTAAATTGTGCTCCAGTCTGAAAGGAGCAAGGACTATTCCATCTCGTACAGGGAAAGTTAAACGAATTACATCAGTTTCATCTGTAGAAATAAGGGAGTAAATTATATTCCATGAAATAGTGCTGGGTGAAGCAGACAGGCATTTAAGCGGAATAACTCTGCCACTGTGCAAAGAACTTACAAGATGGTTATTTGTGAGATATTAGACTGACACGTTTTCAAAATTTCAGTTGTCACAGTGGAACCTGCTCCCGTATAAGAAATTGCCAAGGGAATGGAAAGATTGCTTGTCATAATAGTTATTATATCAGTGTCCTGATGCATCCATTTTACTGAAACTGGGGGTGAAATCTCATGCCATTTTTATTGTGGGTATAATATTTCCACTATTACACAGCCTCTGGATACTGGGGCTACGTTCAATCCAGGTAAACTATTTTTTGGACCCAGATTATGGTAATAATTATGGTAATATAGTGGTACTATGCCTACTTACTATTTAATCTAGGAGGCTTGATGTCCTCATAGCTCTGGGGCGATGCAGTGTTGGGAACAATTTGGGGTTTAATATCATAACAGTTAGGAGGATTACCACTGATGTCACTAATGCTCATGTAAGTGCTGGGCGTCGCTACAGGGGTGAGTGGAGGAGATAGGGCATTTGCCATGGGAGAGCTTTGGTACTGAAGTTGGCTTTTTCGTCTTCTCGACATTGAACCTGCTCTAGCTTGGGACATATGAGATCCATACATTCCTGCCGGGGACATTGGGTTCATTGATGACATCTGTGAGACCTGAGACATTTGAGACATTTGTCCCATAGGGTTCATCTGTGACATCTGGTTTACTGGTCCCATGGGTGTCATCTGACCCATCTGTGGACCCATTGTTTGGTTCATTTGCGCCGGAACTGGCTGGTTCATGGAGTTTGGCTGCATCATCTGTCCCATCTGCTGGTTTATCTGCGACATGGGGCTCACACTTGGTGTGTACGGAGGAGGAGGTCCCCCTTGTTGTTGGTAACCTCCCTGTGCTTGATATGAAGATGGCATCTGATAGCCACCCTGCTGTAGAACAGCAAGTGAAGAAACTGTTAATCACCTTGCAAAAATGTAATTAAATTCCTGTGACTAAAATCTACAGCTAAAAAATTAATAGGCATTAACCCCTTCACTCCCACAGAGTGACTGGTGGAGTCTTATAATAGTTCTTCTAACTTTTGAGACTGTGAATTAAGTACAATGAGTGTGGCCATTCAAATGAAATGTCTCTGGCATACTTTTATTGGTTAAAATATGTTTTTGAGCATTTTACAAAATGAAATTTGGACTTTTTGTTAATTTTGGCATCAGGTCAGAAGTATTGCTCAGTTGATTAACCTTGTAAACCCTCACATCAAAATTCAAATTCTCATTTGTTTTCCCCATAATTATGTTTCCTTTTGAGGTAGAAGGGAGAAGCCAGATTTATCTTGTGTGATCATGTTCCAACTCCTTGTCACCCATTTGTTCTATCAAGAATTGATATCAGAGGGAGAACCTTGATGCTGATCACTCCATGCCTTAAAGAGGTAAAAACAACTGTAGTGTACCCTTGGTTTGCAACCACGAAACAAGGCGGCCATGTTGCGGGTCGATACAATAGAATTTTTTCTCACAGAATTTACATGAAAATAGAGTTTAGTTCCCGGAGGAGAGTAATGCTTTTGTTCTTGGCCACCAACAATAGCCACCCTGATGTCACATGCAAACAAGCAGCTGCATAATGATAAGAGAATAGTTTCACAATTACACATCCCAACATTCAACATCTTTAGGCATTACTGTTTTTGTTCAAGTAAACAAAGAATGTCACAACTGGTGCCACGCAACCTTCACGATGAAAACATTTAATAACAAAATCTTGCACTGAGCCTTACCCCATACTGCCCAGGATACTGTCCTTTATAATGCTGCTGCATTTGCTGCTGTTGTTGCTGCTGCTGCATATGTTGCTGTTGCTGCTGCTGCCTTCTCATCATCATCTCCTGCATGTATTGTGCCCGTGTCATTCCAGGTGCAGCTTTCTGCATTCCCTGCTGAGCTCCGGGTTGCTGCTGTTGTGTGAAGGGTTGCTGATACTGAGGGAAGCTATTACTACGTTGATAAGGGGGTGGCGGATGCTGCGGGTGATTAGCTTGGTTTGGAGGATACTGGTTTTGTCCTGGCGAGAATCCATATTCCCCTGGAGAAAGAAATAGAAAAAAATTATCCCAATTTTCAAAGACAAAACAGTTTAGGGAGCACATAATGCAACCCCTTGTTTTACCAAACACCTTTCAAGACAAGCCCATCAATGAGGGTGTTTCTTGGTGTTGCTCGTTGTTTCTTGGTGTTTGCTGGGTATTGCTCGGTATGTTTTGAATCTTTTGCATTGCATCATTTGGTGATTGCACCCATCTGCGACACCAAGAAACTACCACTAAAGAAGAAAACCTCAAACCTGCGAAAGAGAGATTCAAAAGTCAGAATAAATTTTAGAAACATACCCATTTGCTGCTGATCTTGAAGAGCAGCAGTGGCTGTTGCAGTAGCAGTTGCAGTTGCTGTAGCAGCAGCTGCTGCAACTGCTGCCGCAGCTGCAGCTGCTGCAGGATTGGCTGCTGCTTGTGGGAATGGGGATGCATTAGGGGGGACTGAACTCTGCTGGTTATAGTAGTGGCTACTTCCCGGAGGTACACTTGGTGTGGAGCCCGCACCAGCAGGGTAACTGTGTTGCCGCTGGAAGTATTGAGCTGCTGTGGGCGTTGTTTCTTGTGGAAGCCTGCTTCCTGGTCTTGAAGGAAATCCCCCTAGAGAAAAAAAACATCATTTTGTTTACTTGTTTGGAAATGAAAGTATGCTGATTTGATTCCCTGTTTACCATGACAAATACATATGGATGCTTGGCATCTGTGAGCCAAGTAAGTTAAGACATCTGGAGAATCATTTCCAAGTCAACTGACCTTTGAAAGACAAAGGATCTTAATGAAATCATTCTGCCCTCTTTGATCTATACACTCTTTTATCCATCTATTGTTTTTATTATTGTCATTTAATTCCATTACTTTAACTGTTGCTTCAATTAATTAGATTTCAGCAAGTTCTGATAACTGCATCTACAGTTGGGTTATTTCCAAAGCAAGCAACTTGTAAATTTGCCTTCAGTTGCACTACTAAATTTTTAAGGATCTCTACGTCACAACTTGAAAGATGTGATCACAATACTCATTCCTACTTTTTTTTATGTAGATCCACATATCTAAAAGTATTTACTGATTTTTGTGCCAGCCATTTCAGCAATTTATTCATCTCACTTACATAAATTTCTCGTGGCTGTATTTTTGTAATCGCAGAAATACTGCAATGCTGCACTCCAGAATAAACCCCAATTTTGCATGCCATCATGTTAACTGCAACTCTAAGGCTTAAGCCTTGTAAGTAACTTGTGACAAACTCCTTGATAAGGGTGTGTGCACAAAAACTATAAACAATAGACAGTTGAACAGAGTTTCATTCACCTGATTGAGCATATTGTTTTGGATTTGCTGAGGTTGAGAGATAAGGATGTCCCACAGAGTTAACAGTATTTGTTGTAGGTATTCCAGGATTATTTGGGTCATGTGTCATGTTTGCTGTTCCATTTGTCATGGATGAAGTGACGCCCCATACTGTTGTCACAACTGATACGGAAGGCTGTTGCTGACCATGGCCTTGAGTGGTCTGTGGCCACATCACAGTTGATGCATCACTGAAAATAGTCAAACATGGTTTTGTAAATGTTTCTAAAATGTCCAAAAAGACATGATCACAGCTATAGCTACTGCAATCAACATGTGCATGTTATCTACAGCACTTAAAGCTGTGCACACATGCATTCTGCCAATTACATTACTAAAAGTTCTTTTCACTGCTACATTAAACTTTGAGGCATGGAAAATGTAATATAAAGTTCTGTTAATTCCACTATTTGTACCTTGGAGCTTTTGTTATAATTTCAGTGTGTTTATTAATTTTGGTAACTGTTTAAAAGATTATTCTATGAAGTTAAAATAAACATCAATCATCTAAGCATCAATAAATGCCCTTTCTTTGACAAATCAAAAACTATTGTTAAACAGGGCACTGTGGTAAGACATGCAGCTTTACATTCGTACACAAGCATACATGCACATGAAACACAAGGTCCCAGTTTAGGTCAGACGACGATCGAATAGTATCCCGTGATGCACCTCGTTTCATGTTATATTATCACTCAGAGATCACTGCGTACGTGACATATCATGATCACTACTCTTCAGCGCGCGCGTAATGAACATCGTAGTGCTCGATGTGTATGGTTTCCAAACATGTTTCGGTTCAGCAGCTTCTGCTTTTGAGAATATTGAGTTAGCAGATATTCATTGTGCTTTAAAGAAGAATTTCAGCGTTTGTCAAGAACAACTTGTGCGCTCGGTCGCAACCACAAACACAAAGTATGAGACTTGGCAACTGAAAGGTTCACCAGGAGAACCAAAACCATGACTGATTTAAAAAGTGGCTCCAACAAAACAGCCGCTACGCTGTGAAGGTAATTGCCAAAGGAGGATTTATTTCAGCATCGCGCTCAAAGGAGCTCAATTTACAACTGCAGTTACAAATAAAATTTAACCTATCGATGCGACAAACAATCCTCTGAATCTACCCGGTACTGACTCACGCAATCTTCAAGGAAATTTCCTGGCCAGAATACTGATCTGTTCTTTTGAATAAATAAAGTTTCTGATATATTTTTTTTCAATTTCTGAGCAGGCTTGTTTAGCGTTGTGCCTCGTTGTGCCGCTTGCATGCTGCGTGGCACCTTTGTCTGGGTTCCTATCACACTGAAACACACGGTAATATTTGCCGCTCCTTGTTCTAATCAAAATAATTATAGTTAAATTCCTTTTAAAAATAACCACTATGAAAATACAAAGTGATTGCTTCGGCATAAAGTGCTCTCGAAAGCGCCCAACAGATGTAGCCTTCAGCAGGCTTTACACATACAACACATATATTATCACACATGGCGTTGAAATGTGATAAAAGATACGAAATTTCAGCCATCTTTGCTCGATAAAAAAGTCTTCAAAATGTGGGTACTTCTGGGTACTTCTTAGCCTGTGCAATATTCAGGACCTCAATTTGCCGGCGCGAGGTCCACACTTGGAAGACTTCAACACATAATCCAAAAAATCGTGAATATTCATGACCTTGTTGTGGGTCACTGAACACTTTGTGATAAGAAGACTAAGTGAAACAATGAAAATAAATGTTTCTACGTGGAAATTTCGCTCTTAAGCCATTGCAAATCGGAGAAGTCATATCAAATAACAAAATAATGCAATTTTCTTACTTTTCCTGGAACACAAATGAGAAAAAAGGCGACGAGAAAATGACCTTATTTCACGATGGAATCTGCCATGACTGCGATATTGCGTAATGCCTCTGGATAAATGCATCATGGGATACTATTCGCTCCTCCTCTGAGTTTAGGTTAAAATCAAGGAATATCCCTTCAGCATTATGCTAAAAGGTGATCACATCAAATGACATTGCCTTGCACCCCCAAAATTTTCTAAACTATGATGACGATGATGATCAAACTTAATTTAACTTGTTGGTGATATAATTACAGCTTAGAAGGCTTTTCAACAAGATTCTATGCAGGTGGCAAAAGCTTTGGAAAAGGTGGAGAAGGAAAAAACTTGCGGCAAAGCCACCGGCTCTTATTGAAAACCCTGGCTGAGGGAAAATAGCCTCTCTTCCAATAACTACTTAACTATTTGTTCCTTTCTGCAGGGGAGATGTTGGAAATCAAGGTAATTTAAATGCTTTCTGCTTTCTCCATTTTTTTCCATGACTTAAGGTTTAAAAATGAAAAAATAAGAATAATAATTGAAAGCTCCCATGGAACAATAAACAGCCCAAACAAACACTTCACTGATAATCTATATTATTTTAAAGGAATTCATCATACATGGACAAGAAAGGCTAGTATCTGATCATCCCCTAATCATTCAAATAGGCCAGTTTCAAGTTAATTCAGTTCTTAATTAGGCTCCAAGGCTAAAGGGTATGAAACAAAAACATTCAAACTGAGACTTAGGGATGAATAATTCGTTTCTTTTGTAATATTCCCCTCAACCTAAGAGCCAAAAAGTCAAAACTTCCTGACTGATAATAACATTAATAGAATATAACAGAGTGTTCAGAAGGTAAGTGGCTAAACTCCTAATTACTGCCACTTAAAACAAATATCACAGTGTATTTTGGAACTATGTTATGGGTAACGGTAACTAGTCTTTTACATCACATAAAGAAATTGAGGAACTCCTGAATTATCAGTATTTTAATAATATTTACAACTCTTCTCTGGCCCGTAAATCTTGTGGAAAATATAAAATTAAATGTTATTAAATGCGAAAAGAAGAATACACAAAACAGATCCTGCAATAATGCTAACAAATGCCAGAACACCTAGCCTTCAGATGCTAACAGACTGTATGCAAAGGCAAAATTAAATCTGGTATATTTTGAGCTTCAAAAACAGATAAATCAAACCAATGGAAATGTCCCCTGCTTCAGTTAATGATGGAAAAAAAGCCTTCAATACGTGTAACACTTACTAACAGTTGTATCAATTTTTTTCACTGAAAACAAGTTATCAGAGTTGAACAACAGCGAATTAGTTTGATAGCATTAGTACCCAAATAACTTCTACCATACCTCTGTGGAAAATGCACCTTCAACATTGTACATGAAATAGTATGGAGCCACAAAATTATGGGCAGATTATTAGAAAAAAAGAAAATGACCTTCACCACTAAGCATCCAAGATTTATAACACAACTAAGACACAGAGAAAGGAGTCTAACGAATATTTTCTAAGAATATTGGAACACTATGTTAAGGTACATTAAGAGTCATGAAAGAATATGTTACACCAATATTACACAGGTTTCACAGCAAAAATTTCTACATAATCCATTTAAAAATCTAATCACATTTAAAAAATAATAATGTCATGTAAAGCAGTGTGGAGAATATTCATTTTTTTGCCTGTTGTGAAATTACTGGGGCAATTAAGGCATTCCGCCCATCACATGATAAAAATGAATCTTTAAATTACAGCATCATATTGTTCAATATTAACAACAACATCTGCCCAGAGGTGAATTAAACATTATAAAAGCCACAGGGTAAGTTAAATACCATCCTGGTAGCTAAAATAAATAGTAAAGTGTTGCTACAATACTTTGTTGACGTCAGAATCAATGAACAGTCATCATGCTATAGAATTAACTTTGCAAATCTTGATGAGCATGATATGAGCACACAAGAGACATATTCAAAGTATCAATATGTGATCATAAAGTAAGGTGCCAACAAAACAACACAATAATTTCAGTGCTGTTAGATTCTGCATGACCTTCAGCAAATTAAACTGAATTAACTACAAAAGCGAAATAATTTTATTGTCAACCTATATAAATAACTACACATGTCCATGGGTAAGAAAGTTTTATGAGAAAACAGCAATCTTTCCAACTTCACAATACCCTAACAAACAATTATCTAAATGCATTAGACTATTAAAAATGTATGAAAGCTATAAGATGGTATTCTTAGTTTAACATAAGTTGGGTAATGAGTAAAATCAATGATCTTCTCGAGAAACAGGAAACTTGCATGTTGTTTCCCAGAAATACAGCAGCAAGACTGTACATATTAGATTTTACACTGGGCACCTTTCAGAAAGTTGTAACTGACTCTATTTAACATAATGTTCATAAGAACACCAATGCATTTCACATCAACTCTTTTGAGTTTGAAAGCAAAGCTACAAAACCCAGGCCATTAATCAGCTCTATGCATAATACGCTAAACCGCTAGAAGTAGAAAGCAACTATTTATAAATTTAGAGAAAGCTTGTGTATACGTGTACAGTGTCGTTCCTTGAATCATCAAAATGATAGTTGTTAAGATTAGTCCTATAATTATAATACTAAGAAAGGTAATGGAACACAAAAGCGATTCAAATGATGTGGAAATATTAACACAAGCTTCATGTAATACAAGCTACAATTAGCATGAATGAGAAGAGTCATGAAACCACTGACTTACTTGCTGGGAAGCTGATTTAACGGGTTGACTTGGTTCATTTGATTCATTTGTGTTAGCTTGTTAGCTGGCCCTGTGGGGTATCCCCCTGTCTTCTGTGTATCATTCCTTTGCTTCTGGTGTCGCAACAACAAAAGTCTACCAAGATCTTCACACCAGACTCCTAACATAGCTGTGAATATCAAAAGCCCAATATAAGTGCAATATTAGATTCAAGTGTTCACAGAAGAAAAAATATAAATAATGTCATTGCTGGTTAATTGAGAGCTCATTTGAATAGTTTTTTGAGAAAAACATACACTTTGATCCATTCAAAATCAAACAAAAAACAAAAAAAAGTTCATACACAATAAATATTACTGGCATTTAGAGGGTTATCAATGTGCAGTATTGAACATGTTTGTTACCCCACTGATCAATTAAAGCTCTCATGTGATGGCACTTGGAGAATATTTGATGGCCATTCACTCTACCCTCTCCGCATGCCTCATAGTTCATTTTTGAACACAACACAAAGAAATGATGATTAAACAAAGCATGCTTCCAACAGCAATATTTCTCACTAACAAAGCAACTTAAGTTTTTCTTAAATGCAGAATTTACATATTCAAAAATGTATGCTCATTAATTTTTTTGGCCACACTTGGGTGCTGTCTACCTGAATGTAAAGGCTCTTCAGAAATTGTGGTTGAAATTGCATATTTTACATGTGGGTTGGCCAAACAGATTCGGTATAAGAAGTCAACAAGGAAATTTCTCTTAAAGACCAAACGCTCTAACTGGCCAGCCAAACACTTAATTGCTTTTACATATAATTATCTCTTTTGACTTGTGTAAACATAACTGTAAGTTCCTTTCAGACTGCTGTCTCTTAACAGCCAATTCATGCGAGTGTAAAGCTCTCTCCAGAGGGGGGGTGGGAGTGTACCAATGACGCCTTCAAACCCTGACCCTGTTTAAGACAATTGATCACTTCATTACCCTGTTTAACACAGGAGACCTTTTCGAGGCCCTGATTCACTTTATTTCAAACTCAGTTTTCTCACCAACGTCATGGAATACGATGTTTTTGAAAAGAAATTGTTGGTAACACACGTGTGAACCGCTCATTGCCAACAAATACCAAATGTTAAGGAAAGTAGCATGCATCACTTTGAGACAGAAGTAGACATGGATGACCCATTCATCTAATTAACCTCATGAGGAATACACCAATAGGTATTTAAAAAAATCCAAACTTACTTGCTGATTTCGTTGTAAACTTGTCCCTATGAGCAGCACAAACTGCCAACAGTCTATATCCTAAAAATTAACAATAATTTACTTTCAACAACATTTTTCAAGCAGAACTCGCAAGTCCAGTAGACTTGCACAAACTCCATGTAGATATATATCAAGGCAGACAACTGGTCTAGTACATGTTGCACTTTGAGACTCAGTTTTTGAAAGCAACTTTATTATGCAACATTTTATGCCAACTTCTCTAAAATTAACCAAATTTGCAGCCTTAAAGGTATAAATATTATACTTTCATTGAAAAAATTTCAGTCCTTAGAATTATGCTCAGAGTATTTCAGTCTGTAGATTATTAAATTTTCAAGAAAAGTATTTAATAAGTATAATACTACTAACAAAGGGTGCAGAGACATATACTACTGGTATGCAGGTAACTGTGATGTTGGTAAATAACAAATGAGAGACATGGTAAACTAACCTAAATCCAAATCATAACCAGGATTTGCTGCAACTTGGCTCACAACCTGAGAAGACATAGCCACAATGATAAATCATTCACATTTTCAGACTGGCCATGAACACTTGTTTATGTCTCTACTGTATTTGTCATGAAAAGAATAGAAATGACATGCTGATAAATTGCCAGGTTATCCTTTCAACTTTTCCAGTGAATGCTGTTGCATCAAAGCGAGAACTTGGTATCAACATCACCAGCTGGGTTCTCCATAAAATTTGAAGTAGAAGAATTTAAAAAAAAAAGCACAAGACTAAAGTGGAAAGCACAGAGCACCTTTGATGCTGCACAGCTGCATGTGGAGATGGACAGGTGTCCCTCTCTGAGAAAATGTCATTCAGTGTGCAACCAAGGAAAGAATTGAACATGAGGATCGCACCTTCCATTCATTAACCTCCTTTGCTTCACAGCAGGTGTTAGCAAGGATTGGGGAAAAAAGAAAATGGGGAGGGGGAAAGGGGACATAAAGGGATACAACTTTTGCATCCGTCATCTCCCATCCCACTCCTCCCATTACCTTCCCATTTTTGTACTTACATGTACAGGGCGAGACACATACTGAGCAAATGTGTAACACATACTTCTAAGTACTTCAGACTAACCAAACTTTAATTTCTAGAACATTTTGATACTTACTGTAAGACATCCCATTAAGTTGCTTTCAAAAGCTCGCTGGAAGGCTCGTACATCTCCACACCACTCAAGCAGTTCCCTCGCTGAGGTCTGAAACCCCTGGGGTGTGGAAAGGTGCTGTTTTATGCACTGTAGTCTCTCATTTGTTTGTTGAATATGCCGCTCCATGCTCAGGCTCATACCAGCACCTAAAAAAACATTGTAGCTTTCAATTTGCATTTCATGATCCAAAACATTCACACTCAATATTTACTTAAAGTACTGTAAAATGGAACAGTCAACAGATAAGCAAAAACAATGCTTTTAGTCAACAGATTTCAAGTATCCACTTGTAATTAAGAATTATTGTTTAAAACTAAGCACGTTGATAACCTGCATCTGAATTGTGTCCCAGAGTCATTCATTGATCATGACATGAAATTCAGTTTTGATTAATGCTAGAGTCTGAGGCCAAATTCTTTCATGCATCTATTCTTACAAGAATAAAACTTATGCATAGTACTTTCATATGGAACTATACCACTGTATATGATTCTGAAATTTTACATAAGGCAAATTGAGGTGGTTTTATGAACTCTGTTTTGGTTACTTGGGAATGAATGAGCTAAATGAGTCATCATTGCATTGATTATCTCTATTTCTCCATCTTTGTCATTTGAAATGAAAGACCAAGAACTATGCATATAATTACTCAACAGCAATTAGCAGCAATAAAATGCATGAACCAGCAAGATAATATTAGCCCAATTAACTCATATTTACCTTCAATTACAGAAAGAATGTTAAACCACAGCTAAACTAATCACAAACATTATTTCGTTTTTCTATAAACAACACTTTACTTTGAGAAATCAGATAATTACGTGCATGTAGATTAAACTTGCTCTAATACAAAGCAACTTATTGTGTGGTGCAATTAAAATATCATATGCACTCCAACAATTTAACAAAGCAAAGCTGCTGAAAAACTTAAACAAATACATGTTGATAAAAGTTGTTAATGTGTGGCTTTGAAAAATCAACTCAAACATTAAGTAAAATTAAAAGCAAGTTACAGAACAATGCACAGAGATAACTGGCAGGAGCATTGTTCCTAGCAATGATTATTTTGTGATTGCTAGTTTAAGCTCATATTGCTCTGTACTTGCATTAGCTTATACAGCTTTTACATTTCACCAGAAAACTACAAATATTCCAGATTCATGTGGCCAATATGGACTTTTAAGACTGTTCTTTACACCACTTACACCTTCATTCACCTTGTCATAGTCTGTGAAAATTTGCATCAAATTCTTAGAGTTCACAAACCATGAAATAACATGCAAACAAAGCCTGACTAACATGTAGATGAAAACTAATGGAAGCCAAAACTAAAAATGCAACTGCATTAAATGCAGCTTAGCAACTTTGCTGAGCAAGCTGCACTCCAGTCTTGCATTTAAACAGGGCCAAATTAAAGGATAACCACAAAAAACAACACATGGCTTTTGTTAACCACTCTTTTTAAATTATTCACAAGCCACAAGCAAGGCCATTGTCTTTTGTCCACCTTCAACACTTTTCTTTAGTTTTCAACCTACATGTACTTTATTGAAAAGCATGGCATAATTAACAGAATAATGGAATTGTCCCACTGACGTCTATTCACACTCCCAAAGGAGACCTATCCATAGCAATTGAAGAAAGCTTCCCAGTGAGCTTGATCATTTGGCAGAAAGGGAAACCCTTTGCACCTACTTGAAGCTCAACACTCTCCTATCTCTTGACCTAACCAAGCGTATAGTTTCTCTTCAAACCCATAACCAAAGAAAAAACCTCATGGGGATACTGCTCTTCCACTTCACAGTATTCACATGTCTGATTTTGGTGAACTACAGGAAAACACTAATTATAATAATAAATTTAATAACCATTATTTGACTAAATAATATAATTTGATGTTTAGGAATTAAGTTAAAACAGAACTGAAAGAAGCAGATTTCAAATTAACTTCAGACTCTGGCTTAATGATTACCAATGTTAATTGTGTCACAATGACACAGGAAAAGGCTTAATTACATTTTACAACCCCACACCTTTTAAAATTGTCAAACTCCATTTAGTGCACAGGATATCTGTTGTATCTCATTTACACTTTGTCTACAAGTTACAAGTTCAGTCAGCTGGTGTCGGTAAACCAATACACCACTGATTTCATTCACTTATAATTGAAACCCTTGCTGAGTCAACTCCTGCATCAATTTTAAGGTGACTATTGGTTGTCTTGCATCAAACATTTTGTTTCAAAACTAAATAAATTATTTGCAAACTTGAAAGTTAGTTTCTTCAAGGCTTTATCAAAGGTTAAAGGAAAACCAAATTGTATTTTAAAATAATCTTGTCTCTGAAGGCATGTTTTGACAGAACCAAAACAACAGCCCTGCCATTAGTTATAGTAGCAATGAGTTGTTTTGAATTTATTTAGGTTAACAATGTTAAATGCAACACGTTTATTTAAAGAAGCCTGTAACATGTTTCATGGCTAATATTGAGAACCTAAGATGGAATTAACCAAGATTAAAATGTCAGAAGCAAAGGTCTATTACTGTTCTGGTTGAGGAGTTGATTATCCAGGGGCTGATTCTGTGCTGTAGCTGTTCCGTAGAAGAGACCATCATCCAAGTCACCAGCCATGGCCTTGCCCGTGAAGTCGCCCAAACCATTCAGAGGGAAATCCCCCATCTCGAGGAGCAAAACGTGCCAATAATTCAAGAGAGTAGTGTCTTCAAAACTTGTTAAACCCCACTACTGTGTTATGAGGTTTGTGATAGAGCTAACAGGGTAATGAAAACATGCGGTTAGGTTTAAAAATTTTATGTTTAAAGAGTTTCAGTCATTAATAATTGAACATTTTAGGTTTTCAGTTTCTAGTTTATGACAAGGTTTAACCCAGCTACCATGAAAAAGAGAATCTAATACATAGAAACTTTAAGACTTAAATTCAAGATTTTTCCACTTGGGAATGAGCTGAAGTAAGACAAAGTTCAATAGTTTAGGATTATTTGTTTATTTTTACTGGGCAATGGTTTCAAGTGTTGAACCAAGTTGTAGACATTTCATTAAGATTTAATAAGTGGCAGCCTGTGTTTTGTTTGCAAATTCATATTCTTTAAATCTGATTAGTGAGAATAAGTACATGTCAAACCATCACAGGTACACTGATCAGGGCACACACCGTGACTAAACAAAGTCAAGGGTTAGACATCCACAAGTTTATTTGCCTTGGAATCCTCGCCCCTCCCCCACGTTAATGAACATCACCCCTTGCATGCTAAAGACAAGCCTTACAAAATCATCTAGAGTTGAAAGTTATTTGTATAATTTTTTTTTTTAATTCGGGTATTAACCTGTTGGCTTGAGTTCAAAGTGCTGTCAAATATTGATGGGCATGAGAAGTTTCACATGAAGTCAATGGGCCTGCAACAGCATGCATGCAACTATATCAAACCAGACAAGGCTTTTATATGCTCAGTGATTATTCACACCCTACTGAACCCCACCCCACTCAGTGATTGTTCACACCCCACTGCAGTGTTCAGATGTCTCCTTTTCTATTATATGTATTAGGTAACTTGACAGAAAAAATTAATATCTATGATAAGGGTGGGATGGGATGGAGGGTTCAAGTCTTCGTATTGCCTGTCTTTTTTTCTAAACTAACAGTGAAGTGAATCCTGAAAAGGGGTCTTAAACAGGCTTCAAACCCCAAAGTGTGATTTGTGGTTCACTGACCCAGAATCTTAAGCTGCTCAGTTTGATTGCATAGGAAATCCTGCTTAAAAATCAATATTCACTACACAGTGTACATGTAAGTATTAAAGAATACAAGTCAGGGTTGTCACTAAGATTTCAAGTTGCAGGGTAAATACAACAAGAAGGCTGGGAATCCAACAGCTAGCAATCTCTTTTGGTTATACTTTTCTTCCATTTTCCTATGATAGAAGCTGGGGACCACGTTCATAGAAGCCGGGGGAAATCTGCCAGTCCCCGCCTCTTAATGACACCCCTGCAAGTACAGTACATTTATTTTGTATGTCTCATCTAGTATCACATATAATATTTGTTTGGGCAAACTACTTACCTTGAAACAAGAAAATATAATTTCAACAAATGTCACAAGTTTCCCTACTTAATGCGAGTAGTGTGCACCATTAGTGACTTATGAGACAAAACCTGATGGAAGATTTTGCGTGCATAGAAAGAAAATTTTTCTTAGGATTGTTTCTTCTAATAAATATTGATTAGAATCATTCAATGGTTAATCCTCATATTATGAAATGAAAATGTACGCAACAAAGCAGGATTGATGACAGTTTTTCTGTAATGTGAATTTCCTCAAGTTAAGAACAGAATTCACTTGCCCAACAGCAAAATTCACTAGTTCTGGGCTATCGGACATGACTTTCTTTGCACAGTGATTCTTTTAGTTTTTCCCATGCAAAACTGGCCTGATTGGCCAAAAAGCATTGGACTTAAATTTTAGCCTTGGGTTTTCTCTTATCATTAGAGTAGAGCTAGATTATGTATCAGGTTTTCAATAGTACCCTTTTGTACCACTCACATACTTTTATATTGTACCATTCAGTTGAGGCATTTAAAGGCCATAGGTTATTGTTTATACATGTCAGAGCAATATGGTATCACCAAGTTAACAGCTATTACACGTACATGTAAGTTTGCCATTAGTAAACACTATTAATCTTCAGTTAAATCACGCAGTGATAAATGAATCACACTGTTAATAACAGATGATCAATCAGAACAAAAGTATTTTGCAGCTGCATTATCAGCAGGTGCTTTCAATTCTGTCAATGACACTCCCTTCTTTCTTTCTGGTGCATACTCTCAGTGCAATCACATGAAGGGAAAGAAAGGTATGCAAAAAGAAACTCACAGCACAAAAGTAGCTAAGGTTCCTCCTCTTTACAGGACTTTACGGTACAGGAAAACTAGAACCTAACTTTTCTGCTACACTGTACATCCTACCAACACTTGGGCCAGCCCAAGCTAAAAGCAAAGTTATAATTCAAATCAAACAATAAACTTGTAATCCATAAATCAGTTAACTTTAGGGCACACTCATGTGACTTTTGAGGGAAAGACTAAGTGATTTCAGAGCAAAATAATTTGCAAACAGTCCAAGAGTGTTCAAAACAAATCTTACATCAAGTTAACAGTGAACAGCTGTGCGGTGAGAAAAATCAAAAGGAGCCCAATTTTCCGAACCTATCAAATCCAGGTTGACCAGAATGTGATTTTTATGCTAAAACTAAGTTTCCTAGTTGCCCAAGAGCAAAAAAAACAGAAGCCACCAGATGCTGCTAGAGCAAAGCATTGAAACGTCAAAAGTAAATAATGATTATAGTCATGAATGAACACCCTCAATATTCAACTCTCATTCGGCAATGCAAGAATAAAACAAAGTCCACAATACAGCTTAGAGGCGGCAGTCATTTTTTTCAAATTACAATCTGCGTGAATGGTACTACTGTAAATCCCCTATTAACCCTCCCCCCCCCCCAACGGGAGGGGCTTATTTATTCCGAACACATTTGAGGGCAGCTTATTTGAGAGGGGGGGCTTATTCAACTTAGCAAAAGCATTGTTCTCTATAAAATAAAACAAAAACAAAAAAACAAACTAGAATACAAAGTGATTGGAGGTCTTGAAGCCAAGGATACAAAACAAACTTCCAGCTGGTGAATAAAACTTCCTGGATCAGTCCACACTAAATTTTACAATCTGAATTGATTAATGCAGTCTATCTTTATTTGTAAATAATAATAAGGGGGAGGGAAGGGGAAGTTTATTACCTTTTATCCCTGAAAAGGGAGGGCTTATTAGAGAAAGGGACTTATTTGAGAGGGGGGGCTTAATAAAGCACTTCCTCCATCTTTCAGGTTTACAGCTTACAATGCAAATGCTGCAGTGTCCTTGACATTCAAACATTATTTTTATCAACACCACCAAAAACCTATCTGTTTGCAGATAAAGGTGTTGAATCTGTGCAGCTGCTCCTAGAAGAGTGTACTTTTGAGTCTGAAATATACCTTATTTAACTTGTTGGGAAAAAGGTAAAATTCACACAAACCATACAATCCTCATATACTGTATGGCTAAATACAGTCAGCTTTTAACAATCAATGAGCTTACGGTATGTACTAAGGAGAAAAATACTTCTGTCTCATTTTCAAAATAATGGCTTAATGACTATGAATTACTTTTTGCTTCGATCCAAACAATATTTAACCAGAATTTACACCTGTCAAGAAACCATAAAGCAAAAAAGATGAACATTCAGAGTAGGTACACAAATCTATGATTATCTTTTGGAGCCTCAAAGTATGCAGAATGCATCACAGAAGCCAGTAAACAATCTGCACTAGTTAAATTCCTGATCATAAAACAAAACAAAAACTTTTACTTTGAATTTGAATAATGGAGAACACGTTTGGAAATTTGCTTAAAAGTTTAACATAAATACAAAACATCCCTGACACTTTTGTGTCACTGAATGTAATAAGCATGAATTTCATTGGTTCACACTGGCCTTAAAACCAGCTGCAAAAATTGTAAGCTCACAGAATGATTGACAAGGGAAATAATCAGGTTCTCTGCAAAATTTTAAGTTAATATGCCTGGAGGTGCCCACAATAAAATCGATCTAGAGCTAAGACCACAAACCAAAAAAAAGAAAGCAAAACACTAGGTCTTGACCCTCAGATAAACATATCAGTTTAACAGTTTAACTTTCCATGGTTGCTAATACCTAACAGATCATCACACAAACACTTAAGGGATGAATCTTAACCAAAGCTCACTGCCTCCTCACAAGAAAACATGATAAGCACATTGAATTGTACTGCAAAGACTATAAGGTTTCGTACTGTGACTTTTAGTACATAGTCAGGACTGAAATTACAGTTGTAAAACTTTCTACTGTACAACATGCATGAAGTACATTTACACGGTAAAAAAACATCTATATCATTACTTGGAAAACTGTCTTGCAAGTTCAATCCTCTTGGCATTCATGAAATACAGAAAGAAAAGAATTATAGATGCATGCTATTGGGAAAATGGAACAAAGCTAAAACATTAAATTTTCGTCTGCTCCCGTGCCTGATTCTTAAGAAAGGAAAGTCAATACTTTTGTCAGTTTGTTTTTTTTCGAGATTGATAAAATGCACAACAATGTCTTTTCAAAAATAACCATCAACCTCATCCACATTACTAGAAACAAAACTAAAAACAATATATTAGTACACACATGTGGCGTGTGCAGGAGAGGGACTACTAGATCAAATTTCAAGAACAACAATTTACACTTTGCCCTAGTTGGACATGTATGGTGCAACATTAACTAAAAAACAATGAACACACAGGTTTTGCATTTAACATTAAGAATTTTTAGTCATTTAGTGCTAAGGGTTTGTTTTGTTGCAATAATTGATAAAAATATTAATCATTTAGGAAAGTGGGGAATAACTATGAAGAGCCATCAGGGCCATGGATAACAAAGTGACCTTAAATATAAAGTAATCAAAATCCTTCCTTTTTGAACATGAAATGTGCCTTGGCCTTAACCAGTTATAATTTGTTAGTCTTAACAACCTAATTCCCTAATTGCTAGACAAACATAAACCCACAAACCGAAAAAAGAGATCAATTTGTTATGCAAATAAGACCCAACATGGCATGCAGACGTCACAAACTACCAATACCAAGAAGAGAGTTTGATGAAAGCTGATATAATTAATTATGATGAAACACTTTGCCCGTTTCATATTCTGGTTATGCAATGTAATCTAAAAATTGCACAATACAATAAACCAATAAACATTAAAGAACAGGTAAACTAAAGTGTCAAAGTGCCTTTTGTAAGATGTGGGTGGCCAGTTGTAGAGCATAGTTATTAAGACAATGAGCAGCTTTCCAGAGGAAATAAATGTAATTCGATACTGTCTAGTAAAATATAGGGATAAATGAGAATATTATGGAGATAGACTACTGCAATATTATTAAACATTCTCTCTAATTATCAACACTGTTTTCAAAAGACCGTTTGATTCATTTCTCACTGCTGCCACTTAAAATGGTACACTTCACGTGGCAAACATGGATCTTTGTGCATTTAAAATCTACGAACAACATTTGGACTAATTCTCACAACCTGCATGATTGTTTTAACATAAACATTATATGGAGAAATTAAATACTGATCATCAGTACCTCTGCTATGAACTTTAAAGCTGGGAAGCTGAGGTTCTTTCATGTTACATTAAAGGTTATCTTTAAACGAATGACTAATTCTTAAGCAGC